ATAGTAGTGTATAGTATAGTAGTGTATAGTGTAGTAGTGTATAGTGTAGTGTATAGTATAGTGGTGTATAGTGTAGTAGTGTATAGTGTAGTGTATAGCGTAGTGTATAGTGTAGTGTATAGTGTGGTAGTGCTGAGTCTGTCGCCAGGGAAAGGGAGGTCTGCACCGCCACTACTCAACACGCTGCTGTATTGTATAGTGTAGTGTATAGTTTATAGTGTAGTGTGTAGTGTAGTGTATAGTGTAGTGTAGTTTATAGTGTAGTGTATAGTGTAGTGTATAGTGTAGTGTATAGTGTAGTGTATAGTGTAGTGTATAGTGTAGTAGTGTATAGTGTAGTGTATAGTGTAGTGTATAGTGTAGTGTAGAGTGTAGTGTATAGTGTAGTAGTGTATAGTGTGGTAGTGCTGAGTCTGTCGCCAGGGAAAGGGAGGTCTACACCGCCACTACTCAACACGCTGCTGCCGCGACCGTCACCAAGGCAAGCGGACTAAGAAACGAATCGTGCTATCTCATGAAGCAAGTGGCATTATTGTACAAAAAAACAATATAGCTATGAACTAAGCACCCTAAATTCACCTGATGTCAGATCTCTGAAGCTGGGAAGGGTTCGAGTCTGTTATTATGAAAACTTCCTCAAAATAACGGATGTTATATTAGCCGTGAAGTGATAAAGAAATGGCAGTACAGCCAATGGATTCTTGAATCTATCCGTGTGGAGTTTTGAATGGTATCCCCTCATATGCATGCGCTTTCACGGGGTACTCTGTTTCCTTCTCATGAATAATCTTCAGACTCAGTCGTGCCGCCCTGGGTAAATGAAAGGCATCATAATCATCACCACATAAAACATTGCCAGAGCTTAAATCTGTAATAAAATTATTTTTATCCCCGCACGTCCAATTAGCACGCGAAAGAAGTTCAACATACATACATGTATTAAGTGTGAGGAAATATTTTTACAAGATTAATTTGTATTTCAGTATTCTTCAGATCATCAAAAGAGGCTTTGTAATGTGCACGAATATTGTATTTGAAGTGCTGTACTTGTCATTGATCTAACTCTTATTTATCTCACAGGAAGACGCGCCTCTTCATGTTAAAACATCACGTTTGATGTGTTGCGTAGGCCATAGGTACGGCCACCTGCCTTTCACACGCATGGGCAACGAACAGTGCCAATAAACCTTACGATTCCATAAGGAAAGCTTTCATTAGGCCATTCCATCACCATTCAATTAGTGTAAAATATAAAATAAGTAGAGCCTTGCTATCCCTCTCATGCGGCCGAGTGCTACCGGATGAAAATGACCAGATTAATGTTGACAACACAATTAGGCGTGTTGGGTGGCTTGTAATGGCATCCTAAATTGGCTGGTTGTCAGGCTGCATTGTTTAAAAAGAGTCCGTCTCTAATGCACATTTTTTTTTCTTTTCCAGCAAAGCGAAATAAAATACACAAAAGACAGCCGTGGCCGTAGCTGACATTTCCATTGCATAAAACTTACAAGCACCGGGGATAAAAATGCTTTGGAAATCATAAAATGTAAATTGCCTTTTAATTATTCAGCACGCGCTGCTGATAGAGGGCTCTGCATTTTCTGGTTCGCTGTAATAAGGTTATTATCATCGCCGTCAGATATTCTCACCGTTGGAGCCCACGCCCGTCACTCTCGTGGGTGTTTGAGCATTGCACGGCGAGGTGTCCCCACCGTTTGCTTCATGGATGTTGATTCCCTTATTTTGTGGTTCTCAGGGCTTTGCTTCGGTGCAGCCAGGAGAGCGGAATATACAACAATTTTTTCCGAGTATCGGTATTGGCGACTAAAGAAAGCAGTGGCTTGCCTTCTGAGTGTGCACCACCCCCCACCCCCGACTGCTGCCACGTTCAAAATGTCCTAATTTTTGTTTAACAGCACCAGGTGTTTTCAAGATTAACGAAATGCTTAAGCACTTTACTCCAAGACTACATCCGTCGGACCTTTTTTTTGTTCCTTACGTCTCATGCAAATACTTTCTTTTACCAGAAACGCGTGTGTGAGCTGACTGGAGGAGACACGTGATCCAGTGTTTGATAAGTGCTCCGTTATTAAATAACGGAGGTCTGGAGATTCTGCCAAACGTCCCTGGCCCAACTTCTCCCCCGCATCATTATCTTTCTCTCCAGGGTTCATTATCAGCCTTGTACTATTCACCCCTCGTAGCGATTCCTAGAATTGCAATAATACAGGCTTCTCGAATTGATTCAAGGACTCCGTTCTTTTTGTTCGTCACCACCTCGTTTTTTTAATGGGCTATGTTGCATTTCATTTGTAGTTTTGTTCACTGCTATAGGCTGAATGTAGGATTAGTTGATGTTCGTATATTTAATCTTGATTTGAAGCTTTCGTGACTGCAATAATCCATACCCTTTGGTTCTTTCGGTAAAGTCACATAGGAAGAAAAAATAATAGATCACGACGTTTCGATCGCAACACAAGCAATCGTCATCAGGTGGGACAACAACAGCAAGAAAAAAAACTGCTGCATTAGGCCCCTGAAGTAGTATATTTACTTGCTGTCGTCACGAGTCGTAACCACGTGAGCGATTATCATGCACGATACGTCTCGCGTGTCGTGAAGGTGACATTTTAATTTAACAGCTTCTTCCTACTTTTGCTTATTCGTGAACGAGTCACTCAGCAGTGGCCCCTAGGCAATGATAAATATGATTCACTCTTATCTGCAACTTAGCCACATCCGAGGGAGTTGCCGGACGTGGTCTCCGGAAGCACCAAATCCACCCTGATAATCCACCCGGTTTCCCCACACACGTCAGGCGAAGGAACCAGAACCAGCAATTCTAGATTTGAAGCTTTCGTGACTGCAAGGATTCATATTCTTGGGTTTTTTGGGTAAAGTCACGTAGGTAAAAAAATGTAAACTAAAATTAATTTAATAATAGTTTTTTTACCCTTCTATCTGGCAACAAAACTGACACATTTTTACAAGGAGTCATGTTTGCATAGACCGCAATACCTGCAGTCATAATACAAACGAAAGACATAACTCTGATAATGTGTACTGTCCTTGAAGTTGATTGGACCACACCCGAGACAGCTTTCCTTAGAGCCTAGTCTCACATGGTGTTGGACCAGATGACGCCAAAAGAGTTATGTATTTTGTTTGTATTATGACTGCAGGTATTGCGGTCTATGCAAACATGACTCCTTGTAAAAAGGTGTCAGTTTTGTTGCCAGATAGAAGGGTAAAAAACCAATTATCATATTTTTACTGGCAAATGAGGTTCCCATAATATAGAGTAAAATTAATTTACTTTTATTAATTTTAGTTTAAATTTTTTACCTACGTGACAGAACCAGCAAGCCAATCCGCACACTTGATCCACCTTTGATTTGCACATAACCGCATGGACAGCTTCATAATTTACTCGGATAATTATGGCTCGTAAAATGTGCCAAGTGTAAGAGATGTATCACTGTAACACAGAGGACGTGTCAAAGGTTATTGTTACAGCTACATTTCATAAACCGGTGCCATTGATTTTCTCCTAAGTCAGAGCAGAAATTGGTACCATCTAATGCGGCAAAACTCGAGTAGTACCGCTACATTTATGAGGCTAATGAGTTATTTTTTTTATAACCTGCTCATTTTAAATGCTTCTCACGCAATTCACTGTTTCGTGGCCACGTAAAGAAATTCGACCCACTCACGTTACACCACTTCAGGTGGTGCCAACGAGTGAAATATCTCGTCTCAGATCATCGACGACTTGATGTGGTATAATCCTGACACTGATACTCCAAGTGATGACACACACGCGGCTGCAAAGCTGTAACAATGCACTTCCCATAATAAAGGTTTTTTTTTGGGTTAGATCGCGTAAGTATGTGTCGTAACCCTCCACCACCCGACACAGCCAGTAAGGTTTGTCACGTAAACGACGGGCCAATTAGTTACCACTTCAGCCCACCGGTGTGTTGGACAGTAAATGAATACGACGTTTCGCTGGTAATTACATCCAGCATCGTCAAATAATGAACTGCCCGATGCTCGAATTACGACAAATTTAGATTGAAAACTCATTTCTTTCCAAATGCTTTATGTACGTAGTGTGTTGTCCTTCCCCCACACCTCCGGTTAGCACGGTGGGCTACGTACGGTGCGAACGAAGTTCAACATGTATGTATTGTACGGCATTAGCAGCAGTCCACCACAGGCTAATGCTGTACATTCTAGGCAGCGGTGATTGCTGGTAGATGTGCGCCCACTGCTGGGATTTCTGATTTGTGTGAGCGATGTCAGCAATGCGCTGGAACACGGATTCATACGAATTGGAGATGTTATGGTCGTCAATGCATTTCCTGACATGTTTGTGAAAAGCAACACCTGTTTCCTTGAAATTAAATAGATTGAACTTTGCAGGGGGAAAAATGCCATTGGACAACATTATTGTTTGCAAACAAACACGTTTTGTCCAGTCAAAAAAATGCCCGTGTTTAAAGATTAAAAAAACAGTTCCGCCAAAATATGAAGTCATGCTAAACGTGCAAACAGTACCTTAGAAGATAAACACTTTTTAAATTGTATATTTTATTTGGATCTACCGTGGTGTAATGATGCTGTTGCGGTCTAATGGTTAGCACACTCATTACCTGTCAACCCATACGGTTCGCCCGTATTCTTGTCCAGGGAAATTGTGTTTTCAGGTCTATACGGCGTACAGACTGTTTCAATACGAGCAAGGACAACAAAAACAATCATACGACTAAATAAAAAAAATTCGTGGGACATGCTTGTGTTGCAGTCGAAACGTCGTGAGAATTTTGTTTAATATTTGATTATGTTATTGTTTTCCTTCTACGTGACTCTACCGAAAGAACCAAGAATATGAATCCCTGCAGTCACGAAAACTTTAAATAACATTTTTATGTCATTGCTGTTTAAATAAAACGCAACCGGGCACACGATCCGAAGCGGGCGCCTCCTAGCGGCCACGCGGAGCGTTGCGTCGCGTGTTCTTGTGACTTGCAGGGCCCACTCAGCGTAGCTTCCCAGTGACGTGGAGGTCACGTGCGCGCGTTCGGCCCGCCACGTGCCCGATTGTGTCGTCACGGGTTCTCGTGTCGCATCGATGGAACCAGGACATTAATTTACACGTATTCGGTGTTTTTGCCCGATACATTTGTGTCACACCGACACATCCGAGAATGTATACGAAGGAGAGTTATTAAAGGTGGAGCGGGATACAAATATGAACTACAAGTTGAAGTGCGTTTTAGAAACCTCAACTTGTTAATGGAAGGCAAGATAACGATATACTTGAAGCAAAATGTGTGTAATCTGTGCTTAGTTCCTGCTGTAAAATGGATCAGAAACGTAGACATTCACCATTATTGTGTTATTTATATTCATGCATGGGCCCATCTTATGAGGTTTCCAAAAGCAGCGGCTTCTCACTTCTAAACGGCCCACAGACAATATTTATCCATCCACTACCTGTATATGCATCTTGGCCACTCATTGGTCAATCAAAGGGAATATGATCAACTCGGCAACTAATTATTTTACTGTGCTTTTCCAAAACATATTTTTTTGTTTCTCGCCAATGTATCGACACACAGCAGTAATGAATTGTAAACATTTGCTTATGTTTATTAAAAGAATAAACGTGGGTTTAACCTGTATGCATATGTGTATATCACGTCATCGACTGGCAAGTCAGCCCCCACTGTTAGTGCCTCTGATTAGTATTTACGCACAATTATAAAACACATGCACACAATGTATATGTATTTGGGGCCAATATGTTTCTTTATAATTCGAGTTAGTGTACTCAGAGTTCAACTTATAACTTTAATTTCGTAAGCATGCCATAAAACACGTGCGTATTAGAGGTGGAACAGTTAATCATTAGCCACAAAGAAATATCATTCCACCTTTCCCACTGGAGACCAACCCCGAACACGTCACTCAGTCGGCCGAGGTCTCTCGTCAAACAAACTGTGCAGTGTATTACAATCAAGTTCAACAAAAAAAAATACAACCAGATATCAGTAAACATTCTGAAATTCCCAGGCAGTCTGGGCAGGGGGGGGGGGGTGCATACAAACCCAAAATCGGACAGAATGAAGGGGAGTCAGAAACCAAAGACCTGCCTGCCGGTAGATTGGGGCAGAATAACTTCGGGAACAATCCAACCCCCTTGGCGTTTCGATGAGTTGTCACGAGTCCTGGTTGCGATCACAAATATGTTTATTTGTACATCGGGGTAAATGTAGTGGCCACTTAGTGGCTGCTGTGGTCCCATACAACATATCAACATACGAACATTGCTCTGATGCGTGTATCGCGAGCTTATAAATTGATGTGAATGGATGAATTCTTACACCCCCGACGATTAGCGACGCATTTTATTTTCATTTCATCTGTAAACTTGTAAAACTGATCACCGATATTTAAACCATCTGTATATGTAGTATACACAATATGTAATTATATTTGAAAAACAAAACAGCTATTATTTATTTACAGTTGGCATGCCAGCACGTGTGTCTGTTTGGAGACGTGCAGCTTCAATGGAATGTGCTACCATGAACACACAGGCCTCAGGCCTCCACTAATGTCACACTGGCACTCGGCATCTACCCATGCGTACACGGCGTTGTTTACATCTCATATCATAGACACGTGGCCACTTGTTAAGAAAAGCATGAGCAGCATACTTTTGACTAACTATAAATGCCTCACGTGGAAATGGGAATTCCTTTTTCTACAGATAAGTTCACGTTTTTGTGTTGAGTGTGTGTTTAGAAAATGCTCCAGATACAAGTCAAAGTTTTGATTTTCATCCTAATGATTTCTTACCTGGTTACAATCAACACAAACATGCGTTGTTTTGATCTTAGCATTTTGTAATTGGGTGCTAAATGTAACATATTGAAGTGTCTACCGCAATACTGGCACTTGTGCTCATTTCCTCTTAGAATTGTTCTTCATAAAAAAAATACACAAATTGCTTCACTGTATCTAAATCACACGAAATCACTTGCATCATTTACTCAATAAAACTGACACGAGAATTTAAATAAGGCAACATTCTAAACGACAATTGTGCATGTCGGAGATATTCGTGAATAAATACAAAGATGACAATGTATCTGTTCTGCTCGTATTCATCGTAAACAACTTGGAGAAAACCCTCCCAAGGCTCTGTACTGTCCTCTCCCCATCTACAACACGTTCAGCACAACCTGCCACTCTCCCCATCCTATTGTTGGAGGATGCGTAGGGGAGATTAAATATTATGGCATATTTCGTCACAATCATCTGAGCTCTCCGATGATGTAAGCAATCGAATACCGTGCCGATCATTGGTCCGATTTGCTCGACAGATTGGAGTTCACGAACGAAAATAGTCTCACCTCAGTTTCCACGCGTGCTCCCGGACAGAGGTGATGGGCTGCGTTTGGTGACGCAATGCCGTCATTGGCTGCGTCACGTTCGCCGCGGCTCGTAGGGGGGCGGCGGGGGGGGCATATTCCCAGCGGTGGCAGCGGCCACCGTATTGAAACGGGGGGGCCGGTCAAACGACCACAAAATAGTCAGCTATAACCGTCCGTCGATCGAGTCACTTCTTGATCGACCGACGGTTATCATCGCGCCAGCCTCCAATCGCCTTTACGAAAAGCCTTTGTGCAGCGCCCTGTTCTTGGCCTGTGTGAACCTTCCCACGAAAACCTCTCCGAAGCTGGGGTGCACCAGGTACTGGTAGGTTTTAATGTTGGCGGCGGGCGGCGCGGAGCGGGCGACCGGGGGCGCCTGCTCGTGCCGCGGCACCAGCGGGGCCAGGTACTGCGACGAGCGGCGCACGTAGTCGACCAAGCGCTCGTACTGCTGCTCCGACAGCTTCTCCTGCCCGCACAGCTCCGCTTGCTGCTGCTGCTGCTGCTGAAGCCGCACACGCACGCGCACACAAAAGATGAAGATTCCTCTCGTTTAGTCTTCAGGATTGTAACGAGCTAAATGCTCGTCGAGAGCATTTGCTGGCCCGTGGAGCCGCCGTAATGGTGTTTGTTGTGGGTAGTAACAAACCCGGCCACTTTTGCAAACAAACATCATCCAGCAACAAAACTGACACCTTTTTTTTTTACAAGGAGTCAGGTTTGCATAGACCACAATACCTGCAGCCATAATGCAAACAAAAAACATAACTCTGATAATATATGCACTGTCCTTGAAGTTGATTGGTCCACACCCGAGACAGCTTTCCTTAGAGCCTAGTCTCTCATGGGTTGGACCAGATGACGCCAAAAGGCGCACAATAAAAAACAACAATTATCATATTTTTTACTGGCAAATGAGGTTCCAATGATGAAACATCATCCAATTACAAATATATCTCATTTAGTCTTAAGGATTGTAATAGCAACGGCTCGTCATTGTCAGCCATGATTAACCCAGTGTTGGATGAAGGCCTCCCCAAGCTGGCGATGAACCACTAACGGTCAAGCGATTCTACAATCCCACCAGCACCGGCACACGAGGTGATATCAACGTGCCATCTCTGCAGTGGAGTGACCTCTTGGGAACGTTTCTTCCTTTGGCTGCCATCGAGATGTTATTCTAGATTTGAAGCTTTCGTGACTGCAAGGATTCATATTCTTAGGTTTTTCGGTAAAGTCACGTAGGTATAAAAATAAAAAATAATAAAAGTAAAATAAAATAAAAATATAAATTATTTTATTTTTTATTTTATTTTACTTTTATTAATTTTAATTTTAATAAAAGTAAAATAAAATACAAATTATTTTATTTTTATTTTATTTTACTTTTATTAATTTAAATTTTAATTTTTTACCTACGTGACTTTACCGAAAAAAAAGAATTTTAATTTTTCTTTTATTAATTTTAATTTTTTACCTACGTGACTTCACCGAAAAACCTAAGAATATGTTATTCTCGCTCACAAGCCATCACTCTTTTCTCGCGAAATGTTCTGCCAAAGCCCCCTTTGCTGAAGAGTCAAAATGATGACTTTGACCTGGAATCCATTCGTGACTCTTTATCTCACGGCGGAACTCCAGCACGCCCCTTTCCATATTTCTTTACACAGTCTTAAGCTTTTGCTTAATTTCTTAATCAGTTACATCATGGGACCTCCTTTGCCAGTACCAAAATATACAAATAGGGTTTTTACCCTTTTTTTATCAGAGTATTGTTTTTTGTTTGCATTTGACTCCAAGTATCGTGGTTAATGTAAGCATGATTCCTTGCAAAAGGTGTCAGTTTTGTTGCCAGAAAAAAGGGGAAAAACCCTATTAGTATTCTTAATCAGTGTCCATGTTTCTGATCCACCTGTGATAGTGGGTAATATGCACTCAATGATATGGTGCTTTGCAGGTGAGCAAATATTCAGGCTGGCAAGGGAAGCAATGTCGTTGTGTGAAGCATTGATCATGACCTGACACTTATGTTTATAACTCTCATCAGGTGTTCATGTAAGGCCAAATTGACGTTGAGCAATCTCAGCGCAGATCCAGATAGCGTTTGGCCGCTCACTTTGTGCAGACTTGGGATTCAATCCCAGGTCACCGTGACTTTCATAACGGTGCATCACATTACTAACACAACTTCCCACGCGGGGAAAAAAAAAAAGCTTGGATACACCGTTAATTCTTACAGACTGTTGGGGCAAGCGTTGCTTCCTGTTACTTTAATCCGGCACCCAAGGGGGTGGGGTTTGGCCTGCGCCACAAAACTGTCCGCCTCGATGTAAAACACACGTGGCAGGTGGGAAGAAAACTGTGATGAAAAAAAAAATTAACCCGTAAAAACAAAGTTTTTCACCATAAATCCCTTATATGCGTGGCGGCTAGAGTCCTCTCGTCCTCTGGCTTGAGATGGCTGCCACCTATGGGTCAGATGATTGCCTGCCACCATTAAGCAATTGGTAATTAAATATAAAAAAAAATTCCTAAACAGTGTAAAGTTATGGAAACAAATTTTCACGAAAATTAATTGTCACGCACAACGAGTCTGTGTGCAAAATGTCAGCTCGATTGGATCACGGGAAGTGGGTTAAAAAACGACCGAAAGATTTGCATGGTCGTAAGCGCGCAAGCAAGCAAATGAACTTAATATAAAGGATTTAAAAACATACTCCTCCAATCGATTTGTTAATTTGTATTTTGGGCTTGTGAGTCTGTGCTCAGCAACGTTTAAAAGCATTATGCTTCTAATAGTGCTGCTTGTTGCTGGCAGGTTGCCGCTTTGAGTCCGTGCACAGCCAGCATGGTTAAAAATAAGACACCTTCAATAGTGCAAACAAAAAAACACAGTTGTTAAGATGTTCAAACAACACCTGGACACCTATTGCAAGGCATCAAGTCTGCATTAACCCAACAGACTTGTGGTGAAACATGCAAACACATTTGTTAATGTGTCTGCATTGCCTTTGAAAGTGATTGGCCTCTACACCAGAGACATCCTCTTTCATGGGGTTGTCTAACCGGGGCTATCGAGCAAAGGCCACCAAAAGATGAACTGTATAAGGATGATACAAACGCCAAAGCATCAACAGCTTTGGTTAAGCCTTTTCTTTGTTATCATCTAATATTCTGACAAAACATTGTCCTGTAGATTCAATAGCGCTGTTGCTGCCCGCTTGGGAATTTCAGGACTTTCGGTCTGCTGAGCAACCGCAACGACAAGGGATGACAAGGACCGCCACGATGGCTAGGAGATGTTAACTACCTCTCCTGGTATGCAGGAGGTCGTGGGTTCGATCCCGACCCTGATGCCTGCTGCTGCATATGTGGAGTTTGCGTGTCTCTCTCTCTCTCATCATAATCACAGTGACTAGGAGATGTTAACTACCTCGCCTGGTATACAGGAGGTCGTGGGTTCGATACCGACCCTGACGCCTGCTGTGTATTTGGAGTTTGCATGTTCTCCCCGTGGTCGTGTGGATTTGTTTCCGGGTCCACCGGTTTTTCTCCTCCAAATTTAGAATCGACGCCGCGCGTTGGGAGTGTTTGGCCGCTACACATTTCCACGTGCCGATGATGAGCCACTTCGTCGGGCCATCAATGGTGACAGCCAGGCCGCTTCTGAAAAAAACAGCTACATAGCAGCTCAGTGGGGCCTTTAGCTGGTAAAATAACAAATAGCTTACGTGAAATAGATATACAGGTTGGGACAAGAAATCCCACAACCGTGGCAGTGCTCGTGAGAAGTGGTTGGGGGGAGGTGGTCTCCTCTTACCTCCGGCGTGTCGTCGCCGCCGCCGCCGCCACCGCCGCCGGCGCCGCCACTCGGCTGCTTGAGCTGCACCTCGAGCAGGCCCGCCTGGGCGAGCGACATGCGGCACGACACCTCGGTGACGGGGAAAGCCTGCTGCTGCGTGTCCTCGCTGAGGCTCACCACGAAGAGCACGTCGGCCGTGAGCAAGAGGCAGCCCTCGTGCTCCACGCCCGCTCCGCTGATCATCACCACCTCCAGAGCCATGAGCGCCTCCGGGCGGCCCAGGGCTTGCAGCATTTTCCTGTGTGTGGGGCACGGGGCCGGGGGGGTGGGTGGTGGGGGGGGAGAGGTGTGGTCCTGCATCGTTACTCGATGTACGTCCGAGTCGGGAGAATCGTCATCGCATCCTCCGAATACATACGTTGCGAAAGAGGTTCAACATACATACGTGCATGTGTCGGTTATTTTAAATGGAAACCACCAGTAGCCACGCATTTTTAACGAAGCTATAGAGAGCCCTTAGAAAGAATGTTTGAACTACGCTTACACGCTGGCAAGACGTTTTGGAAGAGGTGAGAGTACCCACGTTTTACCCCACTACACGCAACCTGCCGATGGACTGTGTTCTAACACATTTATCCTGCTGGGTTGGAGAAGGGTGGGGGGGGGGAGATTTAAGAAACTTGGACCGTTGTTTAAACTGCTGCGCCAGGAGACCGAATCAAACAGGCAACCTCTGGATTGCAAGTCCAGTCCAGTGTGCTAACCATGACACAACAGCGGCATCCTGGGTGTGTACGCAAATAAAGGTTTCCCTCGCTTGACGCGGCTAACCTATACACACAAAATTCTCTGAATGCGTTTTTAAATCACTCATGTGCGGCAATGCGGGCGGACGTGGGACAAAATTGCGTGTGCTGTATGCGCGACTTGGCAGGCAGCTGTCTCGTGTGGTGCATTGTGGGTTGAGTGACTGTGTGGTCTATGCTACGCGATTTGGTTTTGTGCCGATGCCTAAATCATCCGATGCCCAAATCACCCAATCTCATCACATCTTGGAAGCTTAGCAGGTTTAAGCCTTGATAGCACTTACAAATGGATGACCACCGCGCACAGAAACAGACATTGTAGGCTGTTGTGGGCCTACTTCGTAGTCAGGGGGCAGTGCGAACAATCTGTCGCTGTACTTTTGCTCCAATATCGATGCTCCCTGCCTACAATCCGCACTGACCAGCGTAAAAATAAAAAATTAACCCGTAAAAACAAAGTTTTTCACTATAAATCCTTTATATGCGTGGCGGCTAGAGTCCTCTCGTCCTCTGGCTTGAGATGGCTGCCACCTATGGGTCAGATGATTGTCTGCCACCATTAAGCAATTGGTAATTAAATATAATTAATTTTTTCCTAAAAAGTGTAAAATTTTGGAAAAAAATGTTCACGAAAAAAAATTGTCACGCACAACGAGTCTGTGTGCAAAATCTCAGCTCGATTGGATCACGGAAAGTGGGTTAAAAAACGACCGAAAGATTTGCACGGTCGTAAGCGCGCAAGCAAGCACAAGCAAGTGAACTTAATATAAAGGATTTAAAAATGGACAAATAACCCCCCACCACTGACACCACGTGGAGAGGCCCTCATTCAGCAGTGGAGTGGCACATGGGCTCCACATGTAGACTTGTACAAGCGATACTACCAGGTGCCACTCAAGTGCCTCCATGTATTAACATCAAAATAACACGAATAAATGCCACGAGATGATCTTCTAATTTCATTAACCTGACGCCCTTTTCTTCCTGCCCGCAGCTGCGAAGATAGCCTGTAATATCCACATTATACTCTTGTATTAAGATGAGAGCTGGCTTCAGAATCCGCCCGGCTTATGTTTGCCGAACTTATTTCGCACCGTACGCAGCCATCCGTGCTAACTGGAGGTGCGGGGGAAGGAGCCCACCCTTCTGTAACTCTCGAGGGACGCGGGAGCGCAAGCGCCGCCTCTCCAAGGGACGCAGAAAAAATTGGCGCATTCCGCTGCTAATCCCGAGAAAACGGGCAAGAAGCTCCCAGCACATGGAGGTGAAACGTCAGACAAACAACGCACGGGTCCGACCAGAAAAGGTCCCGGGAGAGCCGCGCAGCGCAACCCACGACAACCCAGTGTTGTACCGGCAAGGGCTCGCGTGAACAACCGTTTTTGGCGAGAGTGACTCACCAGACGTATTTAGCGTGGCTGTTGGGCGCCAAGACAGCTGCCTCGTCCGTCGGTGAGAAGCGCTGCTTTGGGAACTGCCTCAAGCCGGCCCCGTGCAGAATGCCTGAAGAAAAATTGCAAGGTGAGGTGAAAGAAATTCGAGAGGACCGTGCAAGGCGGTTATTTACATCTCGAATAAGCAATGCAAACGTGAAATGGCTGAGCTCATGGTTTTTTTGGCACGTGTGAAAAAGGCAAAAAAAAGTTGACAATAATGCGGGGTAATGCCAATTCAAGCAACCAGCCGATAATATAACTTTACTTTCTACTTAATGCCACATTTTTTGACGAGTGAGAAACTTTTCAGTCAAGCATGTAACTGTAACATTCGCAAACGCTCGGCAAAATATTACGTGCGGCAGCTTCAAAGTGATTAAGAATTAAGCTCGGTCAGAAGCGACTGCCCCAGGAAGGTGCCAACGTGTGAAGAAAAGTATCCTGCCTGGTACGCAGGAGGTCGCGGGTTCGATCCCGACGCTGACGCCTGCTGTAAATTTGGAGTTTGCATGACTGATCTCCCCGTGGTCACGTGGATTTTTCTCCGGGTCCTGCCTGGTTTCTATCCAACCTTGGATGTCACATCACTTCCTGTCCATCAACCCTTCCAAAAATCGAAATATCTTATTCCCTGCCGCCCGTTCCCCTGCTCCCTGTCCCACCATTTATTTCCTCTCGTTTTCCTATTTTCCCTATTTCCTCAGCCCGCAACCTTGCTGTTATCTCTTCCCTCTCCCTCACCGATCACATTCCCGCCACTACCTATGCTTGCCGGTTGCATTCGTTCAACATTCGTAAAATTCGACTGCTCATTTCCACCTCTGCTGAAAAACATCCCATCCGTTGCCTTATCCACACCCGCCTGGACTACTGCGGCTCTCTTAAGCGTGGTCTGCCCATTTACTCTTTTTCCCCCCTTTGACAAATCCAAAACAACTCAGCTCGGATCATATTCAACCCTTCCCTTTAATTCCCGTACCTCGACCCTCCATGCGCAACTGCATTGGCTCCCTGTGTACTGCCGTTGCCTGTTCGAATTTCTCACGCTGGTCTCCAAATCTCTTCATGGTCCCGCCCCACCGTGTCTTGCCACTCTTGTATCTTTCTACGTGTCGTCTTCTCGTCCTCTGCATTCTCTACCTTTGCCGTCTCTCTCTCTTCTCTGTTCCTCCTTCGGCTTGCGCTCAATACACGCTTTCGCTCTTTTTCTATTCTTGGTCCCCCCGCCCCTTCACTGGAACGAACTTCCCCCTCCACATTAAGCGGTCACCGTCGCTCACTAGTTTCCGCTCCAACTCTCAACTCACTCATTGTTCCCTAGCTCGACCCCACGACCCCTTAATCTCATCCTCATAACCACCACCGTTAATTTTCCCTCTTCGTATTCTTATCATACGGCTACCACTCGTTGCCTCATTCATTCAATCTATTAATCATCATCATGATTTACTGTCATGAATTTCGCTTTCGCCCAATTCGCGCATCATCACAGATGTGCTCCCATTGCTTCCTCTCATCTCATTCATTCACCTCGTCGCCACCATCACACTCATTGTTAATTCTTTGTAAAGCGACCTTGGTGAAGGCGAAATGTAAATTCCTTTAAGATGAGATAACGTTGACAATGGGCAGCAAAATTACTGTACATGGGATGTTGGCTATCAAAAACAAGGCAACTCCTATGACTAATTGGGAATGGGACGCAAGCGTAGGATTGATCACCCTGTCGCTGGCCGCCTTTGGGGAGGGTGTATAGTATGAAAGGCCGAAACACCCTAGGAACCAAAGGTACACTACTGACGATGCGCTCCCCAAATTTCACCAGGCTCACTGTTCATAAACTCTTGGAAGTGCTTGCACAAAGGATAGTAACATCTCATCCTGTGTTCTTTGGAATATGAATTATAACCACAGGCATGAAACGCAAAGGAAACACCGCGTTACCATATCCAGTCTGTGAAACGAGCTCCGCTGCTCCCGCGATGGGCTTGGTGAAGACGCCAACCAACCCCTTGCCCATGCCCGAGATCACGCCCTTGGTCTTGCTGCCGATGGAGGCCTTTTGGAAATTCTGAATTGGCTGGTCGACTATTCCTGCAATGGCACCTGCGCAAAGCAATCACGACACCGCAAGACACGCAGTTAAAGCAAATGAATATGTGCATACGGTCAAACTCTCCGGTCAAACTCTCCACTATCTGGCAAAAAATTTGAGATGGAGTGGGACTGCTCAAATAAAACAACAGACTGTCGGGGCAAGTGCAGCTAGCGAGCAGCACCTATGAAAGGCCGGTGCGGCGCACGAGGGGGTGGATGGCTGGCACCACGCCCGACAATAGGCTACACACACACACGGGCATGCATTTACGTGCCGATGTAGAATGGGAAAGAAGACGTAAAAAAATGCGTCGTCCGCGTTTGTAGTTTCGGAAAGTAAAGCGGTTCCCCCTGCCGACGTGTGTGTGCTATCGCATGGCCCACTGGGTCACTGACCCATACTGCATGGGCAGGTGAGCACGGTTAATCCACGACTAGGACAATCTGCCGACAGATAATAAATATCTAGTTTAAATCTATTTTCACCAGGCGAGAGTTCTAAGCTAGCCGGTGACTATATATATATGCGCACGCTTAGATCTTACAATCTGCTGCAACGTATGCACACGTTGAGTCTCAAACACCCTTGCTGATCATCTTGTGGAAGCTGATTCGCTTTGGACTATTCTATAAACGCCTAGATGAGATTGTGGAATCCGTATGCCACGAATGGCCGAACGAGCTCGATGGACCGAATTGCCCCCACACATTTGTAACCTCTCTTACGTTAGCACTCTGCAAAAACAACGTGAGCACAGAGAACAGTGTCAATCACTGGAATATTGATGAAGGTAGTTAATCTAAGTTGTCTGATGGTGCATTGTCTTTGAGTTGTGCGCCTTTTGGCGTCATCTGGTCCAACCCATGTGAGACTAGGCTCTAAGGAAAGCTGTCTCGGGTGTGGTCCAATCAACTTCAAGGACAGTGCATACATTATCAGAGTTATGTTTTTTTTTGTTTGCATTATGACTGTAGGTATTGTGGTCTATGCAAACATGACTCCATGTAAAAAAGGTGTCAGTTTTGTTGCCAGATAGAAGGGTAAAAAACCAATTATCATGTCTTGTGGTTGTTGTTGTTTGACTTGCATCCCACTGTGATTATTGCACACAGCGTTGGTGTACGGTGCTTTTTCTGCAATATTTTGCTGTCTTTTCCTGGATTTTCTGTTTGCACTTATTCACATAGTCACTTTAAGATGTTTTCTTGTTCATGTTTTTGTTTTTTGTTTGTTGTGGTTGCACCCAATTCAAGAGCCGAATGGCTCACAGGGCTACACCTAATAAATGAACTTGAACCTGAAGGAGGTACGAGCCGGTACAAGAAGCAGATCTGGCGTTGCTTGTTACTTTACGTATCGGCAGGAGCGAGTGAGATATTGACACGAACTGGCAGAAGTAGTAGGATGGCAATACCATCGCGCGCAACGATAACATGGCTCTGACTTTTCGGCAAAGGTGGGTTGCCACCAGTTGTAAGGGAGACGCATCCGAAAATATGAACAGCTGTTACGTTGTAGACAACGCAAGATGGGCTGTGTCTCACGCGCCATCAATTATTATGTGGGGAAAACACTTTAAAGTTAGTCATGCACACCAATGCGGCACTCGATTGATCTCACTGCGAGGTTGCTCCCATACATTTTAAAACATCAATACAGGGTGTTTCAAACAGTGTTAACACTTCTGACAATTTGCAACAACACCACAAGCAATGTGCCTCCGGGCTCTGGAGACCACCTGGAGAAGATTCCAGGCACGTGTGGATAATGATGGCGAACAAGTGGAGAGTCTTTGATTTTTTGAAGCTATTAACATTACATTTGTTATCATGTCACAGTGTAGTATCCGTTCTTTTTCATCTTCTTGCTTCTTTCGGTAAAGTCACGTAGAAGGGAAGTAATAAAATAATACAAATAAAACATAATAAAAAATAATTCTCACGACGTTTAATTTTTATTACTTTATTACTTCCCTTCTACGTGACTTTACCGAAAGAACCAAGTAAATGAATCCCTTCAGTCACGAAAGCTTTAAAACGTTCTTTTTCAATTAAAAACTATTGTCCCATGTAAGTGTTAACATTTTTTTGAAGCACCCCTGTATCGTGACGTAACCGAAGCGCTCTGGCAGCGTTGCTTGATTTCAACTCTCACATCTTCTACTCTCGTTCGCAAAGTTTCAAACCCACGTAGATGAGCCTGGGGCAAATGGCCCGAGGTGTGTAAGAGCTCATTTGATTGCTGGGAATGTCACCTTCCCGCTGAATTCATGTGAAACATGTGAGAAATATAAGAATTGATTATTTGGTTCTTTCGGTTAAGTCACGTCTAAAGATAAAATAATAAATTAAATTAAATAATTTATTATTTTATCTTTAGACGTGACTTAACCGAAAGAACCAAATAATCATTTACTGCAGTCACGAAAGTTCTAAAATTAAAATATAAGAATGTCATTAAAAAGCACTCGCTCAAACATCCCATTTCAGGCCCCTCCTGAAAAATGTTTCATAGATGCCGTGAGACTTTCCTGAATAAATCATGGAATTTGTATTATTATTAATCGCCATCACGACACGTTTAGAGTGCCACAATGACGAGATGTTAACTACCTCGCCTGGTATACAGGAGGTCGTGGGTTATATCCCGACACTGACGCCTGCTGCTGTATATTTGGGGTTTGCGTGTCTCTCCTCCAGCGGTCACGTGGATTTTTCTGCTGGTCCTCCGGTTTTTCCTTCCACATTTAGAAACATGCGTTCAGAGTATTTGGCTGCTATGATTTTCCACGTGATAAGCCACTTCGTTGAGCTATTATTTGTGGCCAGGTCGCTTCTGAAAAAGAGCCACAGAGCTTAGTGGGCCTAAGCTGGTAAAATAGAAAAAAATGTGTATCGTTTAGTTGTAGGGCACATTCACAATCCAGGGAGTGGATGGGTGGATAAAGGTTCAGAACATTAAGCTTAAGAACCTGGGTTCAAATCCAGGTTTAAGCCACCTGTGATTAAACAGAGTTCTCAAGTGCATCCAGTTCATGGTCTCTGCCCAATGACTACTGCGCACACGAAAAAAACCACGTAGAATTAACTTTGGGTTTTCAATTATTATTATGGCACCAATCCAGCTCCGATAATTAACAATATCCGTGCGGCTGTCAGGCAAGAAGCATCTCATGATACCACGCTGTGTGGGAAAGTACACTCCCTGCTGCGTGTGTGTTGATAAGAGAAGTTCTGTGGGCTCTTCTCTTAACACAGGGCGCGATGTATTTAGTCGGTTTCTGCAGCCACGCTTAATGCTAGTGTGGTCATCTTCCAGGGGATGCTGCGCATTGAGCATATTTTTTTCTCAATCTGTCACCACACACTGCAGTGCGGAAACCAAGCTGGTCTCCAACCTTACAGCTTTATACAAGGGCAGAGGAGACCAGGTGAGGAAGGTTAATGCTCAGCGTGCGGCACAACCTGGCAGACCATGCTTGGATTGCGAGCGTCTGTGAGAGCCTACGTGCTGAGCCTGACAGTTCCGCTCGCAGGTTAAGGAGCCCTCTGTATGTACGTAAAATATGTACGTTGAACTTCTAGAGATTTGAAGCTTTCGTGACTGCAAGGATTCATACTCTTAGGTTTTTTCGGTAAAGTCACGTAGGTAAAAATAAATATTAAAATATTAATAATAGAAATAAAATTAAATTATTTCTATTATTATTTCTATTATTTTTATTTTATCATTTATTTTTACCTACGTGACTTTACCGAAAAAACCTAAGAGTACGTTGAACTTCTTCCGCAACGTACGTAGCCAAACTTGCTTATCAGAGGTATGGGAAAAGGAAAACAAACTAAGCGCAAAAACCAGTTCTCAAGAAATTAGTTTCAATCTAGATATAAAAGTGCACAGCTCCAGCGGCTTCCTAATATCGGAAGGAAGAGTATTCCAGATGGCCACAGAACCGCATCCGAAAGCGCGTGCGCGCGATGCGGTGACCGTCTTTGTTCGATGGACAGCAAAAAAGCCGTTGCCGCGAGGATGACCGTAGTTGGTGTGTTTGTCTCACCGAGCAGGCTCAGGCCGAGGCGCGAGAGGCCCTGCCTCAGGCCGTCGCCCAGACTCTCGGGCAGCTGCCGACGCCACTCCTCCTGGCGGCTCGAGTGCTCCTCGTCCAGCGACAGGCGGTCCATGTTCCGCGCGAGGCTCGTGGCCAGGTTGGTGATGGACGTCAGCGTGCCTGTTTCCCCACCACGGTGGAAAGAAAACACAGACGTTAAGTGTCTTCACCTTGCGCCAAGCACGGATATGGAAAAGAAATGATAAACTGGAATAGTGACAATTGAAATTCAATGAAATGCTCAAATTCCGACTGCAAAAACGCTAGGAAGGTTTTCTAAGGTAACATCCGTTTTTTCAGGTTTCCGGCCACCTCTAACATTCGTGGCGAGAGGTATCTGACTTGGTCTTTGGCACCACTGCCCCGCCATCACCAACCCGCCATCACCAACCAACACTCGCCAGCGTGGTGAAGTATGGTAAAAATAATCTCCACGACCGACGCAGCATGGGAAGGCCTTTACCCAGCAGTAGACTGAAAGAGGCCCGTAAAATTCGTGTTTTTTTTATTCAAGAAAACCTCAATATACGATTGGTAATATTATTTAGCAGGGATATAACGATGCATTGATGAATTAATGTTGATCCTTAAACTCACAATACATTAGTGAACAAACAACATTTTAAAATCCATATATATATATGTGGTATGTAATGGATTCACATGGCCCTTCCAGCCACTAGAATTCAATCGATGCCCTGAATGGTGACACATTCGCTAGGGGTGGAGTTGTCGCACCCCTTGTATTTATCAGAGTGGCATTTTGCCCCGGTACTGAGAAAATCACTGCCGTGGGCTCACGCAGCTTGAAGCACTGCCGCTCAAGTAGAGCAACAGATCAATGAGACCAGCCCCATAGCATTGTGTGGCGCGGTGGGGGTGGAGCCCCGTGGGTGTCCCAACGGCCTTTACAGTAAGAGCTACAGCAGAATGCACGACAGACATGAGCAGACATGGTTACTCATTCTGTTTAGCATTTGACATTTGGACGTATGTATTGAACTTCTTTCGCACCGTACGTTGCCAACCCCCCCCCCCCCCCCCCCCCGAGTACAGGCCTAAAGGCCCTCGACTCCCAGCGTCCAGCAACTAATAAAATTGCACCATCTAAGAGTTTTGGTCACCTTTTCGCATTCTCTGGTCTAACACTGGTGGTGAGACAAGGCCATTGAGGAGGCTGTCTCTGGTGTCGGCCAATCAGTTTAAAGGACAATACATACGTTGCCAAAGCATGGTTGTTTTTTTGCACGTTTTACCATAAGTATTTGTGGTTAATTCGGACATGATGCTTTGTAACAGGTGCCCATTTGGTGAATGAACATCTTAACACCTCCCGTATTCTTGCCAGGAAAGGGTAAAAGAAAGCCTACTCTTAGGTTTTTTCGGTAAAGTCACGTAGGTAAAAAATAAAAATAAAAGTTAATAAAAGTAATAATGGAAATAAAATAAAATAATAAATCACGACGTTTCGGAGGTAACACAAGTCTCCGTTATCAGGTGGGACCGTCACAGCTAGAGACTTGTGTTGCCTCCGAAACGTCGTGATTTATTATTTTATTTTATTTCCATTATTACTTTTATTAACTTTTAATAAAATTTTTTACATACGTGACTTTACCTAAAAAACCTAAGAGTATGAATCCTTGCAGTCACGAAAGCTTCAAATCTAGAATTAAAGAAAGCCTATTCGTGTTTCATCATCTTGATACTGGCCAAAAATAAAAAAAGAAGGGATCCCGCAGATATTTAGTAGGCTTCTTGAACCGAGGGGTTCAAGGAGACGCCGAACGTGCCTTTGGAAATGTGCTTCACGAAGGAGGTGGTGCCTCTGGACACGCCGCTGACGAACGCCCCGGGGCCTCGCGTGAGCCCTTCGTACGGCAGCCGGAAGAAGTCCGCGATGCCGTTGCCGACGCTGCGCACCAGGCTGGCCGGGCTGCCCAGGATCTCCAGGGATCCCACCACCCAACCTGCGGGCGAACCGAGAATGCGCGCAAAGGTCACCGTCGTGAAACTGAAACTATTAACTTTTTTTTTTTACCTTACCAGGTAAAGACCCGCACCGAGCTGTGTGGCTCTTTTTCAGAAGCGACCTGGCCACAAATGATAGCTTAACGAAGTGGCACATCGCGTGGAAATTTGAATAAGCACGTTATACTCTACTTCAGTGTTCTTCATTGCAAGGCCCGCGGGCCGCTGGCGGCCCCTGTTGGCCTTTAGCGCAGCCCCTGACGTGCGGCCCCCCCACAATACACAACACGTGACAACACCCCCCCATCGTGCTGTCAAACCCCAACGGGCACGGCGAGCGGCCTTTGGTCCCCCCGTTGCCACTGACCGGCGCGGAAGAGAGCCCCCGCCGCGTAGTGCATGGCCAGGGCGTGCACGAGCTGCCTCGGGGTGGTGAACAGCGGCCCGCGCTCGAACTCGGAGAACGCGAGCGGCGTGTGGTCCGAGGCGATGTAGAGCTTGAGCGAGGCGTGCACGCTCACGAGCAGCCGCAGCGGCCGCACCGCCAGCCGGCGCAGCTGCACGGGCCGCAGAAGCGCCAGCGAGGACCGCGCCACGTCCCACGGCGCCGCGTCGTCGCCCGCGGGCCGGTCGTCTGGCCAGCGGCGGGCTCGGCCGTCGGGCGCGAACGTGGCCAGCAGCGTCTTCACGTAGTAGACCAAGGTGTCCTCCAGGTAGAGCCGCATGGGCTCGAACTCGAGCTCCACCTCCGTCGGGTGGAAGCCGAAGTCCGGGGCCTCGTCGAACACGACGAGGGCTCGGAAGGCGGCGCCCTCGCGGCGCCCGTCGACGTCCGCCCCTCCGAGGGCACGCTCCGGCACGCCCGCGTGGCCGCGGGGGCCCGGGCCCGCGTCCTCGGGCCCGGGGTCCACCCGGCACAGCAGCACGGGGAAGTGGAAGCTCGTCCTCTCGAAGAGCTGATTGTCAAGCTGCAGGTCTCCGACGATGACCTCCAGGGCGCAGCCGTCGCCGCCGCCGTCGTCCGCGAGCGAGCCGGCGGACGCCGCGGGGTCGGGACGCGGGGCGCCGGGGCCCGCCGCAGAGGGCGACCCCCCTCCCTCGCGAGGGGGGGGGGTCGCCCTCGACGGGGAGAGGCTCAGCACGACATCGTCGGCCGTGAGGCGGAGCAGCTCGCTGGACGACGCGGGGTTGGTGACGTCGTCGGCGAGGACGGCGCTCACCTGGGCGAAGGACACCTGCAGGTCCAGGCTGTTGTGGCGCGTCTCCCTGTGTGGGACAAAGCGAGCGGACGTATGTGGCACGCGCGTGCGTGCTGTTAAGGTGTGGCGAAGACGGGCGCTGCCATCGCGCACTTTCGGATGCGCTTCTGCGGCCGTCTGGAACGCTATTCCTTCCGAAATTAGGAAGCCACTGGAGCCAAGCACTTTTAAAAAATTCCTTTCTTGAGAACTGCTTTTTGTATTTAGTTTGTTGTCCTTCCCCTGCACCTCCGATTAGCACGGATGGCGACGTATGGTGCGAAATAAGTTCTACATAGGTACGTGCCTCTTCTTTATTTATTTGCCTTGCAGTTTCGAACGTATTGATATTATACGTAAATAGTGCCATGCTAGTTTGGGAGGTGGGTCGGGCAGTGGTGGTAGAGTGGTTAATGCACTCGCTGTGCTTGGCGCAGCGTGAAGAGGCCTTCAGTCAATGGTTGACTGATAATGTCAATAGATTAAATCATTGATCATCATTATATTTATATGAACGTAATGTAAAATTACGGATTCTCACCCACGCAATGCAATGCATGGGAACCGATGTATTACAACTATCACAAAGGGGAAGGATTCAGTTCCTAAAGAAGCTGTGGAGTGAAGTGTCGGGACATCGTTACGAGATCTTTACAACCTCGCTTGAGTATACAGGATGTGGTGGGTTCGATCCCGACCCTGACCCCTATATATTTGGGGTTTGCGTGTCTCTCTTCCCGTGGTCACGTGGATTTTTCTCTGGATCCTCCGGTTTTTCCCTCCACATTTAAAAGCATTCGTTTTGAGCATTTGGCTGCTTTACATTTCCACGCAATAAGCCACTTCATCGGACTATCATTTGTGGCCAGGTCGCTTCTGAAAAAAGAGCCATATAGCTCAGTGGGCCTTACCTGGAAAAATAAAATAAGTTTATAGTTTGGTTATAAACAACACGCGGCACAGCCCCGCAAAAAAAAAAAATCACACCGCAGAGCCATTACAGCAACAACTTCCTAAAAAAAACTACACGGCAGGCACACAGGAATATTCCGAGGTGGCTCCGTCGTGTCCACTTCCACGGGGCCGTGTGGGCGCGTCCCACCTGCGCAGGGAGGTGAGCACGGGCCCCGCCCTGCTCTCGGGAGCGATGCTCACGGAGAGGGAGCTCCGGTGGTGCGAGATGTTGACGTAGACGCAGCCGAAGCCTGGCAGGAACACCACCTGCATGGAGCGGGAGGGGGGGGGGCAGGGTGTCCGCTCGGTGAGACGCAACGCCCCCCCCCACCCCCCACGACGGAACATTTCGCCATCTGCGAAGTTGAGCGGTTTAGCAGGATGCAGCTTCCCCAGGGAGGAAATTTTCTCACTTAAGTAGCCATTTAAAATAGATTAAATTTACATCAACGCGAGCGGGGGAACACGGAGAACAAAAAAAAGAACTAATCTGTGTACCCTGGAGGATATCGGATTTGTTTTTTTTCATGACACGGAGTTAACCATTACATGTGCGACAGGAAATAATCAGAGCAGGTAATTTATGGGCAATAGGTACGGGCGGAGAGCACCGCATTGCCTGTACGATTATGCCACCTTGTGGTAACATTCACACACAGCTTCAATTGCAGTGCAAAGTAATTATGACCCCTGTGGAGGTTTCTGCTACACGCAGGTCATATGTCAAAACAAGTACGCAGCCGAAACGGCAATGCCATGAGCTCATGTTACATTTTTACAGACTTTTCCTGCGTGTAACAAAAATATTCTGCAGGGATTAAAGCTCACGAATGTTATACATTTATGTGGATATTCAAATATCACCTTGACGTATATTTGAAAAGAATGTAAGATTGTAAGCTAGGTACTGCTCATAGATGGGCGCTTAACATTTGCACAACCATGGATATAATCTCGCTGCCATAGGAATATGGAAATTCCACTCCTGGCTCAAGGTTGCCAACAGGGAGGAATAATGCCCCACGCTTGTGTGAGCAGGTTCAAACTACGGCGACCAATCCGGTGGCGAGATGTTAACTCACTCGCCAGATATACAGGAGGTCGTGTGTTCGATCCCGACCCTGACGCTTGTATATTTGGAGTTTGCAAGTCACTCTCCCCGTGGCCGCGTGGATCTTTCCCCGGGTCCTCCGGTTAGTCCCTCCACATTTCGAGAATCGACGTGCGTTTTAGAGAATTTGGCTGCTATAAATTTCCACGCGATAAGCCACTTCGTTGAGCTATCATTCGTAAATAGCCAGGTCGCTTCTGAAAAAGAGCTACATACTCTTAGGTTTTTCGGTAAAGTCACGCAAGTAAAAAATAAATAATAAATAATACAATTGAAAAAATAATAGAAATAAGCGATGTATTATTTTATTTCTATCATTTTATCAATTATATTATTATTACTTATTTTTTACCTACGTGACTTTACCGAAAAACCTAAGAGTATGAATCCTTGCAGTCACGAAAGCTTCAAATCTAGAAAGAGCTACATAGCTTAGTGGGCCTTACCTGGTAAAATAAAAAAAATAGTTTATATAAATTTTTTAAGTAGTTTGATTAGCCCCTTTCCTTCCCGGGGGTCGCACCTGCGTGCCGGCGCTGTTGAGATCCACCTCGTCGCTCCACTCGGCGGCCGGGACCAGCGCCAGCCCCACGGCCGGCAGAGGCCCTCTCGCCTGGCAGTCGGGGAAGGCCGCCCTCTGCTGCTGCAGCTCGTGGTGTGCCCAGCACTCGGCAGGGATCACGGGCGGTGGCGCCGGGAAGCGCGGCTCCACTGCAGTCGATCGCACACACGGGGACACGTGACAGTCCACGGTTTGGTGGGCGATGGTGATTCCTGGCTGTTTTGTGTCCCCCACCCCATCCACCACGCAGCAGCAGCAGCAGCCAACACCCACGATCTCCCCACCCACAATCACTCACGAACCACGAAAAACGTGGCTCTAACACGTGACGAGTTTGGGTGACAGACCTATGACGATCTTAATTTTGGAGCTGTCGTGACTGCAGGAATTATTCTTTGGTTCTTTCGGTTAAGTCACGTCTAATGATAAAATAATAAATTAAATAATAGCATATTACGACGTTTCGATTGCAACACAAGCAATCATCATCAGGCATAAATAAATAGCAACAAAAATCTAACTAGAAAACTATAGACAGACATACAAGCAGACAGACATCACAAGGACACACAGAGAGAGGACACATATCGGCACAAAGAGAGAGATCTATGACGATTTAGCTATAAAATATATTCGACTAATGTTCTATATTTTGTTGTCTTTCCCCTTCAAATATGAAATAACACTCAAACAAGTGAGTGCCAAATGTTAAATTCAAAACCCCAGAAGGAGGGATAATTGCCAATGGGATTCTGCCGTAGCTGTTCACAACGTGATTCAATATGCCGTCTGTTTCACGTTTTTGCAATCTGGACGTCACTGTCCTGTGCATTACGAACATGATCTCGTTTCAGTAGAAACACCGGATCAGATCTCAGGAGTTGTCACGGAGCTCATGAAGTTCCCTGCACACACACACACACGAGCGCTCGCTCAAAGACATTTGCATTGGCGGTCACCTGCAGGGATCTCCTTCAAGGTGATGGGCACGGGACAAAGGTTGTGGATCAGCATGCGAGGGCACGGGTCCTCGAGCAGGAATAGATACGTGACTCCCTGGGCCTCTTGACAGGTGAGCACCACGGGTCTGTACGCAACAGCACACGTGGCAAGACTGCAATCAGAACCTTTATTAATCCTGGAGAAATCCGGTGAGCTGCGAAGTTATTTTTCACAGACATCCAGGTGCGACTGGGTCAGAAAGTTACGACTGACAATACGAAAACACGACAGGAGTGAAAAGTATAGGAAATGAATGCAAATCACGAAAATTAAATATGTACAATCGATAAAAGTATACGAGTTCCACTTGAGTAAGTACACCAATTTCCAAGCTTGGCCAAGGCACCAAAAACAACAGCAAGAACAGTCCCAGACCACACCAAGACAACACACAGTCCCTCAATAAAATTGCACATTAAAATGTGACTATCGATACATGGGTAAGAATGAAAGTTACAAATCACATTTGCAAAATAAGTTTTATCCGGCACTAATCTCCCGGGCATTTTTTGGAAGGAAAATTCACGACGTTGAGGGAGGGGGAAACGAGGCTGTTCTAAGACGTCGGTGCTGCAATGGCAAATGCTTTATCACCTACTCCTGCACCTTACTGCAACGCACAGGGAACGTGGCTACAATGCAGCGTGCAACGCTCTGCGCAGCGCCCTCACGGGGACTAGGGAGTGGAGCTCTGCGGATTCGTTTTTTTCGGTGGATGTCAGCAACGTGGATGACTTTTCGGTTGTCCCGAGGGTTGTTCGGCGAGGTCTGCAACGTTTCGTTCCGCATGCTGGGAGCTTCTCGAGGGACTGGATTCATTTCCGGGAGAAGCTGAACTCAATTCCAGAAGAAGCTCCCAGAAACGTGGAGGAAAATGCCAGACACTATGCCGACCAACACACGGTACAAAACCCAAAAACACATCACAGGGCCATGTAACAGAACTGTTAAAAATCTAGGGAAATTGTTTCAGATGTGTGGGACCACGTTGCAATTAAATGTACCTTCTTACGGTGGGGAGGGGTGGGGGTTCTGTAAACTTTAAGTGTGCGCGACTTGTACAAAAAATACTGAAAACTTGACGGTCAACCACATAAGGAACGTGCAGTTGTTACGGTAGACAAGCTGGCGTGAGCGTCTTGAAACACGTGAGATGCAAACCCGCTGGGTTGCGAGGTGGCCAGGAGATGTCAGTACAGCGAGTGGGTCTTATAGACCGTTGAACATAATTCCGACGAGTATGTATGGGTTTTCTCTGGGTAACTCTGGTTTCCTTCCACTTGCCAAAAATAAATTTTAAACGAATTTGGCCCAACATCCTGAACTTCTTCTTCTTCCGCGCATTTGTCCCACACAAGATGGGGTCCGCTGTCCTTCCTAACATTCTCCACGCTGCCCTGTCCTGTGCCATCTCTTTTTCCGCTCCTCGGGCCACCGTGTTCGAATCGCCCCACATCGCCCCCCCCTCCTACCTCTTCTTCCGCCTTCCTCTTGATCTCATTCCTTCCACTTGCATCACTTGCACCTTCTGACCCACGTTATTTTCCTGTTGCCTCTCCACATGACCGAACCACACCAGCCTTTTCTCTCTCATCTTCTCTGTGATTTCTACGCATCCCTGATGCCTCCTGCAAAAAGAGTCTCTCTACTCAGCGAGACTTTCCTGCCTGGAAAAAAATGACGTCGTATAAAAAAATGGAAGAGCGACGGAGAATTCATTAATCTGTGCGCCGACCAAAGTACACGCAGTTCCAGACTTTAAGAAACGCCCTGTTTGCAGTGCAGCGGGGACATTAAACATTCACTTAATTAAAGCAGCTATGAAAAAATTATGAGATAAAAAAATACAAGGTTATAAATCAATTGAAAATAACAGTCCTGGCGGATACGCACAATCGTACAACCTTGCACGGAGAATATTTAATTTCGAAAATATGGACGAAACATTTGGTTTAATGTCCCGGCTATCGGAATGCATGGTCAAGGACGGAGTGTTCCCCCACCATCCGCGTGTGTGTAGCTGAGAGCCAAGCCTGGCTTACAAGCTCCATAGCTCTGGAGCAAGAAGAAAGAGGTCTTATTGAGAAAGGAACACCAGACATATACATCAGCAAAGAACACTGCCAAGCCCTGACAACTACAAGCACACACACGCGCGCGGTCGACCTACGTCGAAATGTGTTGATATCTTTCGATTTAAAGCTTTCGTGACTGCAGGGATTCATCTTCTTGGTTCTTTCGGTAAAGTCACGTAGAAGGGAAATAATAAAATAATAAAATTAAAACGTAATAAAATAATTCTCAGTCAGACTCCGTCTTATCGACAGACCTGTTCTTTACCTGAGGACGGCTGCTTGCGTTGTGGCCGAAACGTCGTGAGGATTATTTTATTATGTTTTAATTGTATTATTTTATTATTTCCATTCTACGTGACTTTACCGAAAGAACCAAGAAGATGTGTTGATATCGTACGTCAACGGTGTTCCAGCGCTGCGTCCACGTGCGAACTGTTAGCAGCCAGTGCCTGTCATCCAACAAACTGGCCAATTTACGCGTTGCGAATCGAACAAAACTTGAATGTGGACAGGTATTATTGATTCTTTATATACTCAATCCTAAAGTCGCGCATTTTCTTTGAAAGACGGTGGCGATTTCAAAGGAGGGTCATGCCAAGGTAGCCCTTCTCCCCCACCTCTCCATTTAAAAAAGGGACGCTTGAGTCTCAATCGGCGCTCACCGAGAAATTCAAGAAAGCAATGATTCACCTGCCTTGTGAGCCCTGTGAAATGTCCCGATCCCGAGTCACGATTCGATTCAACATATATTGTGCTAATTCCATGGTTAATGTAGCTCTGCCAGTGGCCGCATGGATCACGTGAAGCAATTATTGTAAACAAGGTATACGAAACATAAACAGGTGCATGTTTTCATGCATGTGTTGCAAGCGTAAAAATGTATTGTATTCAATGAATTCATGCTTTCCTGATTAGCATGTATCTGCCTATGTCTGGGATGATTCTGACGAGAGAATACTGGTTTAGGAGGAGAGAACCATTTTGAACAATTCATTAGAAACGGGGGGAATTGCTTCACGTTGGAAGTTCTCGAAGAAAGTTGGGAAAGAGACGAGTAAGCAGAGCAAATACAAAACATGCGTATTCACAACTTGATGGAACGGGTCCCTTAAGGTGACGTGCAGAACGCTCTAGACCGGGACAGGATTGACGGGGAGAGTTTGAGCCAAAGACCTGCCACTTGGCGTAGGAATAAAGTTGAAAACACTCGAGTCGACAACACTCAGGATGTCACACGTGTATATATATGTAAACTTGTGGCCGGGGCATTGCTTTGCCCCATGCGCCCCCATCGACCGACGTGCGCCCCCCACCTCGTGCACACGTGGCTCTCGGCGTAGTCGTCCGTGGGCAGGGCGACGCTCTGCCGGGGAAGGTCGACCCGGACGAGCGCCGGCAAACTCCAGCCGCCGTGCGAACGCTCGCCCCCCTCCTTGGCCACGGAGAGGCGGAGGTTCTTGAGGAGGGCGGCCGCGCCGTCGCTAGCAGATCCGTCGGCTCCGGCGAGCTCCCAGCATGCAATGGGGTGGCTGGACCGGGAGGAACCATCGCGGGCCGGGCCGATCGTAAACGCGGCTGCCTCTGTTGTGGAGACGCGCTGCGGGATGGAGCGGGGCCGGTTGGTGTTGGGTGATTCAGATTCCAAGAACACAGGATGAGATGTTACTATCCTTTGTGCAAGCACTTCCAAGAGTTCATGAACAGCGAGCCTGGTGAAATTTGGGGAGCGCATCGTCAGTAGTGTACCTTTGGTTCCTCGGGTGTTTCGGCCTTTCATACTATACACCCTCCCCAAAGGCGGCCAGCGACAGGGTGATCAATCATACGCTTGCGTCCCATTCCCAATTAGTCATAGGAGTTGCCTTGTTGTTGATAGCCAACATCCCATGGGACTTATGTTTATTTAGCACGTGGGTTTATTCGCAGCTACTCGTAAATTCAAGTGAGTGCAGCGGGATAGGCGGCATGTTTTAAAATATATATATTATCCTCCAGATTTTTGCCACCCATTACTGTGGGCATCTCCCTTTGTAGACTCCACCAACTTTCTCAACAGGCGACTGAATATCGTGAAAGTGATATGGCTCCATATCTTAGGAGAGCGACATGAGAATTAGTAAGTGTAGTTGGATTGGTGGGAGATATGTAAAGTATTTGAAATAAAATGTAGTATTTTTCGATAATTTCCACCTATTATTTTATTGGCCTCTAAGAAAGTGATCACCTCGTACAGTTTTAAATGTAAATTAAAGTCGACTGAAAACAAATTAAAGAGATAAAATACAAAGGTAATGATCAATTTATGTTATGCAAAGTCAGTGAGGACTGCACGACCATGGATTTGTTTGTGTGCGCATGAGGTGCTCGCTAACAGAACTTGCCCCAACAGTCTGTTCACGCTATACGGGGGATCTTTGTCTTTTTGCACGTGGAGCAAAGGCACAGTGTTATACACACTGCACTATGAACCCACCGTCCCGGGTTCGATCCCTGGCCAGAGCTAACATCAGTGGTGAATGATTACCTGAACTGTCCCTGGGCCTCCTTGAGATCAACTCAGCCTTAAATATGCCACTCAGCCTTGGTACAGTGTGTAAACATGCCGGCATTAATAAGTACCCGCTAACATAACTTTTCCCCAACAGGCTCAAAGGTTATATGGGGGATCTTTGCCTTTGTGTACGGCATCTTAACACACAGTTCGCTTGCAGAGCTTGGAGTGCAAGCGGTGCAGCTGCCAGGCAACCGGGTCTGTTCATCCATTGCACCTGCCGTCTGTCCCATGACCTCATGGCAAAAACTACCGCCACTCCGCGTGGCCTCGAGGTGGCACAAGCGGCACGGTGACATCATGGTCATCTTTCGATTTAAAGCTTTCGTGACTGCAGGGATTCATCTTCTTGGTTCTTTCGGTAAAGTCACGTAGAAGGGAAGTAATAAAATAATAAAAATAAAACATAATAAAGCAATTCTCACAACGGCTGCTTGCGTTGTGGCCGAGACGTCGTGAGAATTGTTTTATTATGTTTTATTTTTATTATTTTATTACTTCCCTTCTACGTGACTTTACCGAAAGAACCAAGAAGATCATGGTCATCGTCGTCGTCAGCACTGAATGTCGAACGTTCATCGTCGTTGTGAACGAGCTCACGTCCAGGGTGCTGTAGGCCTTGTCGCTAACAGCCACGGGCAGGCAGGCGATGCTGAACGGCGTTTTGTTGATGAGGGTAGTGCGGTCCTCGACGAGCAGGACTTGAATTCCTCGGCGCAGCATCGACGTGATGCAGAACTGACACAGCTGTGGGGGGGGCGGGGGGCGGGCAATACCGCTCTCAATGAAGTCGGCATCGGTGCACTTTGCAACGGAATGGGAACGGTACAGAAGTGGAGAACACCAACGTACAGAAGGCCGCAATACCCTTATAATGTAACCGCCGTGTGGCATGAACATTTGTTTTTACTTATTCCAAGTAAATAGTTACGTATTAATAAGCAGAGGTGGGACAAAGTCATTGTTATGCAAGTCCAAGTCGAGTCTGAAGTCATCAAATTCATGACTCGAGTCTGACTCGAGTCCAAGTCACATGACTCGAGTCCACATCTCAGAGGTGGGACAAAGTCATTGTTATGCAAGTCCAAGTCGAGTCTGAAGTCATCAAATTCATGACTCGAGTCTGACTCGAGTCCAAGTCACATGACTCGAGTCCACACCTCTGTTAATAAGTAATGATGCAAGGATGATGATTCGCCACCCTGGCAATTCGATAAGTTGGCACACACCAGGGCTACAAATTAATTCATTAATATATATATCTTTTTATTTATCTCGTTTATATTATATTTTTTTATCTCGTGTGTAGTTTTTTTTTGCTCCACGAGCCGAAATGTGACTGAGTTAAAAAATGTTCAACGCAACAACTTTTACAAACGCGATTCGATGCTCGTATTGCGAGCTCCATGAATTGGTCTGAATCGATGAATCCATGTGTCCTGATAGCCCTGATAATTATTAATACAGAATAAACATTTAAGTACAAAAATAAGCCATTCATGCATATTAATATATAGATACACACAAACACACAATCTAGAGCTAACATGCCAACAACTGCTTCTACTAAAATATTAATAGGAGAGCTACAATCCCCCAAAACAAACTCTATGAGACGATAAGATACCATGTACAATGGAGCATTACGAATATACAATTCCTCTTGAATGCCTGGTAATTCAAACCTCTTGACTTAAAAATGCATCAAAGATGATCAATGAATTATACATTACACACTCAACAGAGGCTTATGCAATTGTAAAAAGCTGCTCTCTTGATCCCCCAGCAAAATTATTTCAAGTGGTCGGGTAGTTGAGATAGAGAAGGGAGCCTGCAATCAGCGTACGGTGCATGTCACGGGGTTCACAAGACATCCATCGGTGCTAGAGGCCGCTACACTCACTACCATGTAAGATATATTTACATTCTAGATTTGAAGCTTTCGTGACTGCAAGGATTTATATTCTTAGGTTTTTTCGGTAGTCACGTAGGTAAAAAAATTAAAATGAATAAAAGTACCATATTAATAAAAAGTGTGCCTTACTTGACCCTTCCCCTCTTCAACCATTATATATACGGAGTGGTAGCTCTTGTAATCTCTCATTTACTTGATACAGCTATCGTGGCTGTGACAGTTCCACCTGAAGACGGAAGCTTGTGTTGCCTCCGAAACGTCGTGATTTTTATTTTATTTTACTTTCATTAATTTTAATTTTTTTACCTACGTGACTTTACCGAAAAAAACCTAAGAATATATATTTACATATTTATTACTAACTATTGAGTCTTCCTGAATCACGACAATTGGGTGAATCTCGACAGGACCAATCAATACACCCCTAACATTCACCATTCGTATTAAAGTCTGGGCTGTTACTGGTAACTGCGGCTGTGAATTCCGTAGAAACGTAATTACATTATGTTTAGCAAGTTCGATAGGAATACCAATTCTTACAGTGAAAAGAGCCTTGCAAGCTCATCGGATTCCTCCAGCACAAACCAAAACATTCCGACGGTGATCCTGGAGCGTGCGCAGTTGCCGGCGCTCACCTTCCCGGCGCCCGGCACGGAGCCCAGACGCACATCCACGTGCGCCAGCCCCTCCTCCGGCAGCTCCACTACCACCTCAAAGGCGGCGGCGCCGACCTTGGCCCACTTGGGCGACGTGACCTCGCGTGCCAGGCGCACGGCGGCCGACTTGTGCACCGTGTTGGAGCGCGAGTAGTAGATTCCCAGCTGAAAGGGCTCCTGCATCACGCGACCGACGCCACCGCCGCCGCCACCACCGTGGGGAAACGATCTCTTGAACATACGTGTGTGTATATGTTCTCCTATAATGCGTGTTTTCAGAACGCGAATTAGATATGACGCGATTGAGTGATCGGAACTAGGTCGCGCGAGTAGGAACAAGCGGTTGTACGGCTGTCTCGGCTTAGCGTCACACAAGGCACTGGGATGCTGCTGGATGCTTCTAGATGCTACCCACGCGCCTCGGTCTTTGTTCGGCCCGCGTACGCATCTCTCACGTGTTATCGCCGACTGTGCTTTACCCGAGATCATATATTACACATTAAACGCGATTTTTTTCATAACGTGATATTGTTCAGGAAAGCAACTACCGCGTTATAGAAGAACAGACTGCATACACTGAAAAAAATGCATGATGTATGAGGGTTGAGAATTCAGGTTTTTAACGGATGTTTTTTTCTTATGTTGGTTACCAGCACCTGCAGTGTAACTTTGAAAATAGCTTAGGGTAGGAGCTCGTTCGAGTGAACTTGGCTCGCAGTCGGAATTTAATTCCTCCAGTTGCGATCAAACGCATGTATGTTGAACTTCTTTCGCACCGTACGTAGCCAAACAGTGCTAATCGGAGAATGAGTACCGCTGTGTGGGGAAGTTAACAGCAGCTGCCTGTAAGCACTGTCTGATGCTAGTTTGAACTAGGGAACCCACTTTGAAAAATATTCCAGTTCTGGAATGTAGAAATGCCCCAGGAAAAAAACATACACACAGCTGATTTTATTCCGGTAAAACACAAGCTGAAATAACACATCCCTGTGCCTTAGATCATTTTTGCATGCCTGAACAAATCAGACCCTTGCTCAGTCCAAAATGCCTGCCACTGACATCTCGAAATGCTGAAGCTCACACCGCTGACACCAGATCAGGCGAGCCATCCCTCGCCGACCTGGCCGAGACCTCACTGTCGCCCTCACCTACGCCGGATCAGCAACTCGGCACCTGGTACCAGAGGTGTGGACTCGAGTCATGTGACTTGGACTCGAGTCAGACTCGAGTCATGAATTTGATGACTTCAGACTCGACTTGGACTTGCATAACAATGACTTTGTCCCACCTCTGAGGTGTGGACTCGAGTCATGTGACTTGGACTCGAGTCAGACTCGAGTCATGAATTTGATGACTTCAGACTCGACTTGGACTTGCATAACAATGACTTTGTCCCACCTCTGCCTGGTACTCTACACGAGACGAGGCGATAGAAAGGGGTCAAGCCACAGTGTGACTGCGGCCATGTAACCCGAGCCACGGACCGTGCCGTAAACCACTGAAGCCTGCGCTCGTTCAATGGAGAAGCAGAAAAACTACACGAGCTCTCTCCTGAAGCCGTCGCGTGACTAGCGGACATCCACGTTTGGCATTGAACTCCCGCGGATATCGTCACGCGCGACGATAGATGCCGCAGATCGATGCAAGGGGCCAGCCAGCCGTCCAAGCGAATTAACGATGTATGGGCCACGGCCGATCTGTGCCGCTGAGCCAGAAGGGTTTGTGGAGGTTTGCCGCCCATGTGGTGGCGCAGGGGTGGGGGGGGGGGGGGGACGCTACCGTGAAGTTGGGAGGGAACGATGGTTTTGCCGGCGGGCTGCCTGCACGCTGACGCGCTCTCCCTCGAAGAGCCACAGGTCCCAGGAGGAGCGGTTGAGCAACAGGGCCCAGGGCCGCAGCTCGATGAAGAGGGTCTTGAGGCCGGGCTTCCAGGCCGACAGCTTCACCTGCATGGGGCTCTCCCACTGGCACGAGGCCTCCCACGCCGCCCTGGTTTCACGCGCAGGGAGCAGGGGGAGGACGGCAAGGCGGCGGTGAGACGGGGAGGAGGGACGTGTTTTGTATGTTTGGAGTTTGCATGACTCTCTCTCTCGCTCTCTCCCCGCAGTCGCGTGGATTTCGTCTCCGGGTCCTCTGGTTTTTCCCTCCACGTTTAGAGACATGCGCTGTAAATTTCCACATGAGGAGCCACTTCATTGGGCCATCATTTGTGGCCAGGTGGCTTTTGAAAAAAAAAAGTTTAGTTTGTGCGATTTTCTTACCTTTCCTATATTTTGCACTCCTATCGTGTGTTTGTACTGGACATCTGTAAAATAAGAGCCTCATGCATGTCTTTCTCCCCGTGGTCACGTGGGTTTTTTGTCTCCAGGTCCTCCAGGGTTTTTCCCTTCACATTTAGAATCAACAGAGCGTTTAAAGCATTTGGCCGTTATACATTTGCACGCGATAAGCCACTTCGCTGCGCTATAATCTGCGGCCAGGACACTTCCGAAAAAGAGTTACATAGCTCAATGGGGGCCTCACCTGACGATATAAAAAATAGTTCACAGTTTAGTTTCAGTTTATGTTGCCTGCAGAACGTCGCCGAGGTCAGCGGTGCTAGTGTCGGGGTCCTCGGTGGCTCAGTGGGCCTTTCACCAATGTTCAAATTTTTGTTGTTAATAGGTTTCGTTTATGTATTCACCGTTCATGACTGGGGCCGATGTACGGCCATGGGTTGTCAGGTTTGTCGAGGGTCGTGGCGGCGAGTAACGGGGACATGTCCAGGGGCTCCGAGTCTGCCTTGTCCATGATCTGCAGGACAAGCGCCGTGGAGATGGGCACCGCAGCTTCAGACACCTCACCGTCATCCCTACAGACAAAGACAAAGATCCACCCCCCCCCCACATAGTCTTTAACAGACTGTTAGGGCGAGTGCTGTTAGCGAGTAGCACCTATAAAAAGCTGGCACGCAAGGGGGTTAGTGGCCAACACCACGCCCAGCCGCTTTTGTATCCTGGGTGGTGATGTTTACACATTGCACCAAGTACTCATTTGAGGCTGAAGTCGACCTATGGGAGGCCCAGAACCGGTTCAGATAATTGTCACTGGTGTTGGCCGTGAGCGGGAATCGAACATCGGGTAGCCAGGGTTGGTAGTGCAGCGCACTAACCACTCCGCCACCCCTCGACACACACATATGCATGGACACACACGCACGTACGTACGTGCACAAACATACAGACTGAGGCTTCCATTGTAAACACATAGGCTTCGTTACTAATTCAATCAAGAAAAGTGTGATACTATGTTGGCAGTACAAGCACAAATAAGAAAAAACTGAACAGATTCGTCAATGACCCAAATCTTTGCCTATTCCATGTTCCTTTCTCTTCAGATGGTAGTCAGTTTAACACGTAGTAGGCTTTCGCGACCAATATCATCCATAATAAATACAAGTGTTGTCATCACATCTAACCCTCTATTTAAGGAACGAAACAGGAGGATTTCCCCACAAATCCTGGCTGTCGCCTGATGAAGCTAGTTGTAATTACTGACAAAACGTCAGTACTCAGATTGTAAATGTTGTGGCTTGGCTCTCCAACACACTGGTAGTGCTGTGCTAGTGACGAATTGGCATGTTCTGTTTACGTGACAACCCTTACTATTTGGCTCTGTCGGATGGTGGCAGGGTTATAATGACACATTTATATATTTACGCGATCTAACCCAAAAAAACCTGTATTATGGTAGGATAGATGGTGGGTTTAGTCTATCCTGCAACCAGGGACTGGAACTCGTAAATGTGTGAGTCAGGTGGTCCATATATTTTGCTCCAGCTTGCAACTGATATCTTTACATCGTCAAATAAACAATACAAACTTTTTCGAGTTGCATCGAATGGAGGAACAGTTACCCAAATACGTGTTCGAAAAAAACGTACATGAAAAGAACCGCCAAATGTTATACAGAGCACCTTGCATCATTTGTATGCAATGTAGGAGGTGGAAAAAGTAACGTCTGCCTTATAGCTTAGAGAGGCAGTGAGTGAGTTTAATTACATTTAGTAAAATGAGCTTCTCAGAAAGCTTGAACGGTAGTATCTGGCGGCCAAGGTTCGATTGAGATATCTAAGCCCAACTCCGGAATGCTTCTTCAAATGAAGCGGCGATCTGGACTCTCTCAGCATGGCGGACATGTTTTTGTTCGGCTCCTTGTGGAGATTTTATTTAATCCAGCTGCAACCCCTGCTTATTGTACTTCTGCAGCAAACCCTCAAACCCCAGCTATTACCCTCCCCACAATGACGGCAATCAGAGCCTACGACAAATTCATCGCGCGATGTATGGCGTGCTGGGCAATGCATCTATGAGTCAATAGAATTACGATGCGGTTGCCTTTCATCCCCATCACTGGCACTTGAGAGCTCCTGAGACTGGAGGCCAATTGAAGGTCAGCATTAAAGGCTGTTAATACGTTAATTTTCCGTGATTAAATGCAACCTTCTACAGCGGTGATTTAAAGTAGGAGCGTGTTCATCACAGAAATGGGTAATAAGGGTGTATTTGGTTTCTGTGAAACCGGCCACAAGTAAAGAGATGTTTAATTAAAGATACACTTAATTAAACTGACGCTTACCAATAATGTAACCCTAAAAAATAATAAGATCTTTGGCACACTGTTGGTATATCTTTAAGAGATTAAAAATGTCCATAGTTTATTAGTTACATTTTGTTTGTTGATGATGCAGTGTTTTAGTGTTTTTACACACAAGTGAACCATTTAACTTGAATTCCTCTAAAGTGTTTATTCGTGTTGCATTGAGGATATACAGATCCATGAAGCTTGCGCTACAACCAGGTCCATGACATGAGAAGACCTACCGAAGGCACAGTCACCATTCATAGTTTATAATCGCCAAACTCATCAACTATTTTCGATCTTATTTTACTGCCACAATAGCTGTGCACAGGCAATTAGACAAAAGTTTACTTGGAAATAAACTCAAAGATTAAATTACAGTGACATGCTAGTGACAGCTCACGCTGATCGAAAACTATATGAAAAGGGAGAATTCACACCCAATAGGGATGAGTTTTGGAGAAAGAAACAAATATAAGATTCCATATTTTAGGATTTTTAAGGGCGATTGTGGATCTTCTTTTTTCACATTTTCTGATTATTTACATCGTCTTAATTTAACATGTCTCCGTGCTGATGTCACCTGATGCCACGTGAGACCATGCATGGTAAGACCACCCATGAGGTCATGGACGTGATGCCATGGAAATTTGTTTCTTTCTCCAAAACACCAATCCGAAAATAGTTTTTATTGGCCCTGTAATCACATTTTGCTAGGTTAATCAGAATATCCGGAACATATCCGGAACATCCACCTACGATTTATGGGCAAAATAAAACTGGAGCGCGCGAGCTCAAGGCACCTCGTCTGGAAGGTGAGGTGATGTGTCAGCTCTGCCTCCATGTGCTGAAGCGTGACCTCCTGACCCCGGCCCACAATGCACTGCATCTGCCTCTGTCCCCGGCTTCCTCTTCTCCACGTGTAGGGTGAGTGGCTCTGGGAGGTGGCTGCACATCATGAACAGGGGGCTGAACACCATCTGTGAGGTGGATCGCAGGGGACAGGAGGCGCGAATCCCGATTAGAACAGCTACAATGTACGATACATTGGAAACTCAGTGGTGCTTCATGTCAGACGCAAACTTCTCAACGGTCAATTTTTATCACAAACAACAGGATGCTGCCACGGTCTATACAGTTAGCACACTGGATTCACAATCCAGAGGCCATCAATTCGATTCAAGCTCCTGGTGCCAAAGTTGAAACAATGGGCACTTTATTTGTTTTAAATCTTAATTTTTGGAGCTTTCATGACTGCAGGAATTATTCTTTGGTTCTTACGGTAAAGTCACGTATAAAGATAAAATAATAAATTAAATAATAGCATACTACGACGTTTCGATTGCAACACAAGCAATCATCATCAGGTATAAAAGAAATAGCAACAAAAATCTAACCAGAAAACTATAGACAGACATATAAGCAGACAGACATCACAAAGATACACAGAGAGAGAACACGTATCGGCACGTGTTCTCTTATACCTGATGATGATTGCTTGTGTTGCAATCGAAACGTCGTAGTATGCTATTATTTAATTTATTATTTTATCTTTATACGTGACTTTACCGAAAGAACCAAAGAATTGTTTTAAATCCCCAATGCCTCTGCCCCACCACCCAGCAGTATAAATGGGTACAGCAGAGTGATTGGGTCAAGCAAGGTTGGTTGTGGTGGGGTAAAGTATGGGTAATCTCAACTCTTTCAAGAGGTCTGGCCAGTGTGGAAGAGTAGGCCAAATACCCTCTAGAGTGGCTGGAGGTCCCTTCCACCAGCAGTGGTAGTTAGCAAGCAATTGCAGGGTTGCACCTTTACCTTCCATCTATTATATTGCGGAATGTGACGGAAACACAATGGTGCTCGAGGAGAAATTAAAAATGCTTAACCGTCAATTGTATCAAACGAATGCAAAATACGTTTTTTTTTCCCATTTTGCGAACACGTTAACTTTCGTTGTTGTCGCGTGAAATAAAAACACGTTTTTGGTATTTTCCCACTTTGTGCCAATGTGCAAAAGGCACCAGTTCAAAATCGTAACGACTTTAACATTGAAGCATTTCCCGCTGCCAAGGCAGAATACAATAAGGTGGCTCCCGGTTTCCGACGTGAGCAACGTTGCAAATCGTAACTCGATGTCCCAAAATGAAGAAATTGCTCTCCAGAGGAAATACAAATACTCCTTCAGAGGCCGGCACATCCTCCACATGCTGCTTTTGGCGTACGTGCAGAGAATCGGGGGGAAACGAATTGCGAGCGCTTCGCACGTGGCGCTCGGTTGAATTCGGAAATCCATCCTCACCACACGTTGCTCGACCACCGCGCTGGGCTGGGAGGCCAGCACGGAACACCAGATGTGGATGGGGGATCCGTTCGGACGAGGAACCTGCAACCCAAACATCAACAACAACAAAAGCGGCGGCGGCGGCGGCGCTGTCAAAAGGGGCAGCGGTCAACACGACGCTCGGTTCCAGACGCCTGCCAGCGTGGATGTTGGTGAACAGACATAAGTGGAGCGATGGAAGTCAACAATTGGCACGTCAGCTCCCCCCCGCCCCCCCCCTGCCCGCACGGTGCGTTTCTTCGGGTTGTGCCGCGTGACGTTTCGGCACCACGTCCGACGTTTCGCTCCGCGCGCTTCTTCAGGAAGTGTGAACGTCGAACGTCGCCGGAGAAACGCGGGGCACAACCCCAAAATTCGTAAATGCCGTTTGCAATGGGTACAGCGCCTAAAAAACGCACCTCAAGTTGCGGCCTTAACTTTCGTGAGCTGCCCGTGCAACCTTTTCCAAGACCAAAAATCCATTTTGCCGAGCTGGCCATGAATTGCGAAATCCATGCTCGTTTTCAGAAGCAGCTAGAGCTACGATCAATGCAATTGAAAGTGACTGCAACTCTCCATGTTCTGCAAGAAGAGTTGTTCAATCAGCAATTCTAAAGAAATCAATTTTGCCTTGGCAGTGACCAACCCCCCCCCCCCCCCGCCCGCCCCACTCCAAAGTGTCAACGTGTGTAATGAGCACATTCTGTTTGATTGCAAACGCCAGGCGGTCTGTCATGTTGGGCAGGCAAGTTGGCTACACGAGCCATCCACGACGACCCCACACACTTCCATTGCGAGTGACGGGATCTAAGACGGACCTGCTGGTGCCAAAACACGGCACCACGGGGACGGATTTACACCCATAGCAACCAATCTGCCACCATTCAGATCTTAATGCTGTGGGATTTACATGGGATTGGGAACTTTCACGGGGATTTGCAGAAGCGTTAGGGCTATAGACAATACTGAGAAAAAAAAAATAACATATGCATATTTAATGGTGATGGGTTTTTTTCCCCCTTTGTTTTTAGCGAACAAATAATACGTACGTACGTACACACGCGCGCGGGTTGTGCAGTGGTTAGCGCAGTGTGTTATGACTGTGGTGACCTGAGTTTGATTCCCAGCCAGGAACTGGTTCTGGCCTTCTCCGCCTTCAACCGAAGTAAGGGCAACCAACCGTGTGACTGGCACGGTGTGCGGAGGGTCTACATGCAGTAGTGCATCGCCAAAAAAGTCGTTTATTTATTCTCAGAATAATAATATAATTATTCCATACCCACACACGGCCCGCTCTGCCGAAGACACATTCAATTCCAATAGGCTCAAATGGAACAGATTCTTGTCAAAACACAAACAGTTTTTCCACATCCGGTTAAAATTGTTTCCTAGCAAACGCCCATTAAAATGATTACATATTCCTAGAAACAAAAGCACAGATCTTAAAGCCCACATACACAAACACACAGAACCAAGATCCCCCGTATAGCCTTTAGCAGAATGTTGTTTGCAAGTTCTGTTAGCAGGCACTTATTAAGGCTGACACTGCGCATGACGGAACAGGGTGGTGTCCAGCACCATGCCTGGCTTGCCTTTGTCTCCCCAGTTCTAACGTATGCACACTGTACCAGGTACTAATTTAAGGCTGAGTCGACCTAGGGGAGGTTAAAAAAACCGGTTCAGATATCACTCGCTACTGATGTTAGCCGTGGCTGGGAAACAAGCCCAAGTCTGTGAATCCGCAGTGCAGTGAGCGAACCACCACGATACGACTCCACGTCCCCACACATACACACGACAGCAGCCACCATTTGCCACGAGGTGGTGGTGGCTTCACCACACGGCTTGTGCCAGGATAGGTGCACTTTCAGGCCACATGACGTGTGCAAGGCTTGCTGGCAAGAGGTCAAGGGAGATACACAAGTATTATGGGTTCACTGACGCACGCAAAAAGAAAGAGAAAAATCGCCCATACAGCCTTAACAAACTATTGGGGCAAGTGCTGTTAGCGAGCACCTATGAAGGCCGGCACGACACACGAGGAGGTGGGTGGCCAACACCACGCCCGGCCGTCTTTGTCTCCCGGGAAGGTGATGTTTACACATTGCACCAAGTACTCTTTTGATGCTGAGTCGACTTTGAGGAGGGCCAATATTAGTTCAGATAATCGTCACTGGTGCTGGCTGTGAGCGGGAATCGAACTCGGATGCCGAGTTTGTAGCTCAGTGCGCGATCCACTACACTACCTTTCCCCACGCATACAATCGCACACACACTCGCACTCTATTGCATTGCATGAAAGATTGCACGGGCACGTACCTCCACCACAACGCTCTCCTCCAATCGGTTGGCGGAAGGACACACCTCTCCGGACCAATCGCAGCCGGGCACCCTGACGCGCACGCACCGCAGCTCGGCGCTCTCCATCACGTAAGAGGGAAGCATCTGATTGGCCGGCAGGGCCTGGGTGTGCTCGGCCGTCACCGGTTGCCCGTCGGGGCCCATGAAGCTCTGCGTCAAGTGCAGCTCGAGGTCCGAGTCGAGAAAGCTGCGCACCACGTGCCTGCCCGTGATCGTAATCTGCCACAAACGGACCACGATGCACCCTTGCTGACTTTGCGGAGGAGCGTAAACCATCGTCACGCGAACTCCGATCGTCATCCTCGCGGCGGCGGTGGTGGCGGCTTTTGTCCAGCCATCGAACAAAGACGGTTACCGCATCGCGCCGCTTTCAGATGCGCTTCTGTGGCCGTCTGGAATGCGCTTGCTTCTGATATTAGATAGTCACTGGAGCTATGAACATTTAAATCATCTAGATTGAAAACTCATTTCATTAGAATTGTTTTTTGTATTTAGTTTGTTGTCCTTCCCCCGCACCTCCGGCTACGTACGGCGCGAAAGAAGTTCAACATACATGCAAGAGAGCGCGAGATGAACACGTAATGCGGCTGGGCAAGCGCCAAGCATTAATCAACAACACAGGGCACATTACTGCACTTACATTCGCTTAAACATACAAAAAAAACATCTGTGCACACTGCTATCTGGTGTCGGTAATCTGAAATATGATTTCACCCAGAACTTTGCACGCAACACAAGTTCAGCGCCAGGAGTTTAGTGGGTGGGGGGGAGGATGGGGGTTTGTTGCAAGTAAAGAGCAAACGGAATGCGGCGCAGTCTGGACTATGCATTGATTGAACAAAGCGCGCGCGTTAATGCGGTGGAGTCAGCTAAATACAAAAACATCTGCGCAATCTCAATCTGCTTCTGTTAACGGTGACGTGAAAAATGGCAAGAGCGTTTCACCAAAACTGCACGTGTGGCTGACATTGAGGGCAATGCTAAAGAATTTACTAAATCTGTAAGTGACCTGCAGGAACCGATATAGGAGATATCAGTAGCTCGGGTACTGGAAGAACTCAGAGAACATAATTCAACTTTCAAATCGGTATCAAAATTGAATGCTCAATGGAAGCCACAACACAGAACACTTTGGTGTTATACTTTTTATGTTTTTACTTGAAAGAGAAATATTTCTTCACGTGTTAATAATAAATGTTGTGGCAGTTCAATCCTCAAAACCAGTTTGAGGTGGTGCTCATCTCAAACTTACAGCCAAGGCCGTTGTGGAAATTCCACATTCCTATTACATGGACCAGTTCGTTAATCCAGAGGACATCCATGATTGACTGACTCGTTTAACGGAACTCTATGCAGAGACGGCTGAGTTGACCTACGATAAAAACTTCGCGACTGCGACAGCGGTGTCCTCTAACCGCCACGCCAACGGGCCGAGCGCACAGCCAGTTGCCTCGGAGTTTGCTGCAGCACAGAAGACGTGGGGACCGGCGCGGCGATGAAAGTAGCCCGACTCTCGCAATTTCTGGCGGGCGAGTTGTGGGGCTGATGGAAGGGCACCTGCTTCTGTACGCCGCTGAGCATGATCACGGTGACGACGAGCGAGGCGACGCGCCCCTTGTACTGGATGCTGCGCAGGAAGACGCCCGGGCAGTCGATGCTGAAGGGCTCCGACCACCGCCAGTTCCCCCAGCCCTCGATGCAGACGTGCAGCATCTGCGGGCGGACACGGCCCGGATGAATTGCACCACGATGTTTACAAGCGATAATTATAATAGTTGCACAAAATCAACATTATTATTTTATAGTTACCACGGAAGGCACACTGAGCGATATAGCTCTTTTTTCAGAAGCGACCTATCACAAATGATAGCTCAACAAAGCGGCTCATCACGTGGAAATTTATAGCAGCCAAATACTGCAAATGCATATTGATTCGAAATGTGGAGGGAAAAACCTGAGGACCCAGAGAAAAATCCACGTGACCACGGGGAGAACATGCAAACTCCACGACCTCCTTCATACCAGGCGAGGTAGTTAACATCTCGCCACCGTACAGCCCTCAGTCAATCTCACGTGCTGGATGAAGGCCAACCAGCACCTTTTGTGTGACCAAATGATGGTCAGCGTGCAAGTAGGTGAAGGGTAGTAGGAGATCCAGCACTGGTCTAAAATAACCAGGTTAGATTAAAACGTGAGGCTCTCCCTGCAAGGAATTTGGCTACGTCATTCTAAATCATGCTTAGGATTATTGAGTGTACATGCCAAAGGTTTCAACAACAGCTAAATTAAAGCAACCGATCAAAGATAACTGTCCCAAGCCATCCTGCACACGGCTCATCTTGCTCGTGGCATTTTCTTTGCGACTTCCTTTAAAACTAGCAGCGAGAGAGAGCCGCACAGCGTCGTCGGTATTCTTGGTTCTTTCGGTAAAGTCACGTAGAAGGGAAATAATAAAATAATAAAAAATAAGTGTTTGTCGGGTTTAACTATTGTTGAAAGGCATTAAACCTGGAACCAAAAGTGGAAAATGTTCACACATGGGGACGTGATAATTACACAGCCGCAAAAAACGTCAGGTGAGATATCATTTGGAAGGAATTTCCCGGCAGAATGTAAACAGGGCTGTCAAGAATTACACTGAAAATTACAATGGAAAAACTGAGAATCGTGATAAAACTTCATGCCTAAACCCTTACATTGCCACTTAATCCATGTAATGCCAATGAACCCCGTTCACCTTCTCTTCCATTAAATATTTAACATTTTGCTTCTCCGCGATTCTCTCTTTGTTTTGATTAGCGGAAAACATCATCGCTCAGTGAAATACACTTTCATAAAGGGGGGTAATGGTGAGCAGCCAGTAACAAGGAACTGCGAAACACCTGAATTTTGCCAAATAACCTCAAGGACACGAGCAGCATAATTGCTCCTCATGACTATTTGAAAGAGCTCTTAATTTTGACAACTCCGAACTGTTACGAGTAATTTTCCCTCACGTAGAATTCCTACCGGTGACTCGTATTCCAAATGTGGGAACAGCTGTTAATACACTATTAAGAATTCAAGCACCGTTTCATATTTACACATGTGAAATTGAAAATGACGCAAGGCGGGGGAGAAAAATCAATTCAAGAGAAGCTACTACAAGGACCGGGTGATGTGCAAGTGACAGAATCCTTCGTACATGACGCTTCGGGGCACCGACTTATTTTTTCGGAGAAGTTTCTAGTCATGCAAGTGAAGCGTGTAGCTGAACATGAGCCTCAATTTGCTTTAATGGCCAATAATGGGACGCATCAATCAGGAGTACGGACCAAAAGCAGAAGCTCTGAAAACACACGCTGAGACATATTACCTCTGCACACTGCGGGGTCGGCCTTGCCAACAAAAGCACACTGTCACATTTCAGCACAGATTAAAACAATCCCCTCCTCCCTTACGTTGGGCAGTGTGTTTACTTTGGCAGGGAGGAGGCCTATCTTATTTGGACCGACTTGAAACCCAACGGGAAAGAAAGGGGGATGGAAAAATATCTGGGAAGGAAGCAGATCACACTCAATTAATTTTCCCCAAACATGTGGCTGGTGCAATGTTAGCGCGGGTAATTACGGGCAAATGAAACTGCAGCGAGTGATTGCACGATAGCGGTGAGCGGCGGGGAAGCTACTGCAAATTAAAATGGGAAGGATCGTTGGCTGTAATCAGGCAGAACAGCACTGTGGCTCAAGTTGGCGGAGGCTCGCTTTCCCCGTGACTATGTACGTTCCAGCCCAGCGAAATGTATAATTGTTGCAGTGGAAATTATATTATTGCATTTTAATAGATTACAACTAGTTTGAAATTAACTGTCCGCAATTATATGCAAGACAAACCCAACGGGGGGGGGGGGGATCAAATCCAGGGTGGGGCCCATGACGTCTTTATTGAAAGCAGCGCTTTGTGGATAATAACTTGTGACGTGGAAATATCCGCACCGTCGAAACGTTACTATTGCGATTGTTCATCAGCTCGGGCTCATACCGGGAAATCGCATGGCACACGTGACACAACTGTAAGAGGAATGAGCACACAATGCTCGCGGAAACAATAATCTGCCAAGAAATTATTAGAGGTGCGGCAATGCACGTATTCGTCGATTAAAACCGAGTCTTACGAACATGACGCATCTTATCATATTTTATATATATATAGGGTGCCTCTGCTCAAGGCGTCAACAGAGTTTAAAAAACGGTATAATAAAATAATCATTTAGATAGTAGTGGCTATCTAAATATAGACACGATCTAACCCAAAACAACTCTATTACGGACAATTTACCCCTCCATAATTAAATCGCCATGATTCAGGGCGACGATTCCACCACAAAACGATTCTTACACAAGCGGTTTGAAGCAAATTGTAACACAACTAATCGATTCATCGCTACACCTCTACCCACAAAGACCCCCGTGTAGACGCACAGACTTGCCGGAGGACAAGTGCCACCTTTGTCTCCACAGAGCCGATGTTTTCCCACTGCACCAGCTACTCATTTAAGGCTGAGTTAGCCTAGGAGGGGGGGAGGGGCAAGGACCGCTTCAGACGTTGCCAGGTTTTCGGCAATCAAACTCGGGCCGCTGGGTTCGTAGCACGCTGGCGCTGACCACTACCTCCACCTGTCCCATCCTCAACGCGCCCGCCTAAAATGCACGCGAATGCGTCGTCCGTACCTGTGCGATTTTGTGCGACCTCCATGAGTACTGGTGCATCTGCCGACTGGACAGAAGAATGCTCTCGTCTGTGTCCACCTGCCCCAGCCTCAGGGTCTCCTGGGTCTCATTGCAGATGATGAAGTGGCTGAACAGGTGGTCTTCAGCATTGGGGCTGCCAGCCTGCGCAACACATGGAAACAATTGCCGTGCCAGAAAATAGCATAAAATCCCCTTTAAAACACCAAGGGCTTTGACCCCAGAGTAAATTACATCTGAGAGATGGAAGAAAAAAACGAGAGAGAGAGAGAGAGAAGGAAAAATGAAAGCTTCGTGATTTGAAAAAAAAAGGCGACTTGTAATAACAACGCATGTGATGGTCAATTTATAAATGTTCACCACCACCTGCAGAAAGAGCTGGGGAGCTGTAGCCGTGCGGGACTAGCAACGTCGATGAAAGGAAAATATTTTTTTTTTTTTTACAGAAGGATTAACTCCAACCACCAGTCTGAGAGCTTAATCGTTGCGGACAATTCATGAAAACAAAAGAAGATTATTTCTGACAGGGCGGGATTAACCGATTCAAAACAACAATAATATGCGAATTAAAATGTATGTTAAACACTAAGGGGGGGTGGGGGGGGGGTGACAGAGCGATTGATGCGTCTGAAGATTCGATAAACTCTCGAGGGAGGTTTAGATTATTTAGATTATTTAGCTGCGATAAATTTCTACGTGATAAGCCACTTCGTTGAGCTATCATTTGTGACCAAGTCGTTTCTGACAAAGAGCTACATAGCTCAGTGGGCCTAACCTGGTAAAATAAAAAAAATTGCTTCGTTTGATTTGGTTTATATTTTTTCATGATTCGCTTACCGTTCCTATACTTTGCACTCCTATCTTATTTTTGTATTGATTTTTATTGTAATCGTTCTGACCAACTCCTACTGGATGTCTGTGAAAAATAACTTATAGCTCATCAGATTCCTTCATTATAAATAAATATTTCTGATTCTGATTCCAGTGACAATATTCTAATTATTTGCAGCACGCATGAAAAGCTTCGCTTCCAACACACGTCATTTGATGCATGCGTCACGAGTCTCATAACCAACGTTCATTGACGAATAGATGCATCGTTCGATCCTATTCAACACTCACTGCCTTCTCCACTTCAGTCAATGTAGTTTGCATCTCGTCCGTCTTGTCCCATCTGTGTCCTTCTCTATCATATCCAATTCAATCAGAAAACTTGTTTGTGAGACGCATTAGATCATTTTGGCCACTCTTCTAGGGTAGCCGTTGAAAATAACAAGTAACGTGCGATGATAATAACAACGTCTTCTTGGTTCTTTCGGTAAAGTCACGTAGAAGGGAAGCAATAAAATAATAAAAATAAAACATAATAAAATAAAATAATTCTCTTATTATGTTTTATTTTTATTATTTTATTGCTTCCCTTCTACGTGACTTTACCGAAAGAACCAAGAAGATGGATCCCTGCAGTCACGAAAGCTTTAAATCGAAAAATAACAACGTCATTTATTCACTCAGGAGTCTGACGATTCCTCTTAACGACGATTCTACATCCCGGTCAAGGACCGACTCGGCCCTCATACTCGTAGGGTATATAAAGTTAGTACCCATCCGTGAGTAGCGGAAAAGTGTCTTTCTTATGTGTAGACTCACTCCTACCATAGGAATGTGTAATTTCCACGGGCTCATAGCCGTCGACAGGAGATCCACGCTATCCCAGACTCATTTGCGCAGAACGCAAAACGACATCAACTCTCGTTTTACTTTAAGACGACAACGAACGAGCGATTAAGAGGACGCTGCTGAATACGTGAGAATCAAGGAAACGCTAAGTGAGCAGGCGCCTACGGAAATAACGCTGAAGGTGCCAAGCAAGCAGCATGGCGAGCCAACCCTACGCGAGAGATCCCGAGCGAGCGAGAGATCCCGAGTGAGCGGTGCGGTGACGTGACGTGCGGGCCGGGTCACCTCTGTCCACGCCTGCACGGCAGTCGCGAGCGTGTGCACGGTGTACTGGCCGACGCGCACGAACACGGGCTCCACTCGCACGCGGGCGCGCACGGCGACTCCGGCGTCGTCATCGTCCGCCCCGCCGGCGCCGCCGCGCGTCACGCGGAGGCGCGCCCGGGCGCGGAACGGCTCGACGGCGGGGCGCAGCGTCAGGCTGCGGTGTTCGAGCACGCGGGCCTCCGCGGCCGTGCTGACGCGCGCGTGCGTGCGCGAGGGCGCGCCCTCCCAGTGCAGCGCGGAGACACGCGGCTCGTCCAGCGACACGACCAGGAACTCGTGCTCGCCCGGCGTCCTGCGGTCCGGCACGAACGGGCGCAGGCGGCGCGGGCAGCCTACCGGGACGGGAGGGGGAGGCACGCGGGGGAGAAGCGCGGCAGAAGACGTTTGCGCGGCTAATCGTTTTGCTTCCGTTTCGGCGATCGAACGCAATGTGGCGCAGGCCGTCATCGTTAACGCTTTCCCACTGAGGTTGACAGCGTTCGTGCATCATCCGAACTGGGTCTCAAGACTCTTGTTCAGGAGGGAGTCCTGCCAAGTTTTCGCAGATGGCGGCGATGTTTCTGGTGTAATCCTAACTGAGCAATTTGCGGGTCATGTTTCACCATTGTGAATGTTTGGGGAACACCAGTTCAACTGTATGTGTTATTTTTATTTTAACTAAAAATGGTTCAAAATTAATATTAAATATTGTTGTATATAGCTGTATCATGTTGCTTGCCATCTCAGAATACAGAGCTTCCAATGTTGATATTCTGGGTTTTAAACCAAATTGCAGCCTCTTGTGATTATTTAGGCTTTCAAGGGTAATTAATTGATGGTGCCAGTATTATCATTAAATGGGGTTTTCCACTTAGCATGTATACTTTTCAGTTCTGAGAAGTAATAATACTGGCTAGACTCTCATGCGTTCAGCTTTCCTTGGTAGCAGGCCATTTATAAAAGAGAACGTCTAAAAACGTGCAGATAACACAGGTCAGTTGAATGGATGTCAGGCGAGTATGTATGTTGAACTTCCTTCGCCCCGTACGTAGTCAACCGTGCTAATCGGAGGTGCGAAGTAGATCTGTCACGGCCACCTTCTGCGGGCTGTTTAGCAACACGGGACAATGTCCTGCTGCTCTGCGAAAAATTCGCAATGGACGCTTCGTTTCACCAAGTGGCCACGACTGCACGAACTTAGTACAGAAAAACCGTGGACATGCAGCGGTGAGATCTGTCCGTGGGTAAGAGCGAGGTGGATGTTAGCAGCACCGGACTGTGAGAGATGGCAATGGCGTGGAGAGGCTTTCATTCAGCAACGGCCGATTACGATTGCCGACGATGATGATGACGACGACCGAACTGGTCACCGCGTGACCTCTACTAACCTGCGCTGAACTGGCTGGCGTGGTGCAGAAGGTGCAGCTGCAGGCAGCTGAGCCGCAAGGACGCTCCGAGAGCCGGAACCCACGCCGGCGAGAAACTCGAGTCGACGCGCATGCAGGCGGCCAGGGCCATGGGTGACACGAGCGGGTCGCACACGCCCTGAGAGCCACTCTCACCATCGACACTGCACAGCGCGCGGACGGCAGTCACTCAGCCGCTCATTGCAGACCCGTGCTTCCCCAATACAGGGTTGTTTTGGGTTAGATCGCGTAAATATAGTGGTGAGTGTAGTGGTGATTGTCTATTTGTTTGTGTTTCTCCCTTGCGATGGGACTTTGTCGGATGGACGTTGAGATTTATAAGGAGCACGGGGTGACCAATAAGGTCTGAATTGGTCTGTAATAAGGTAGGCACCGATAAATGGGGTTGAACAGGTATGGCAAGCGCGCGATGCGGTGACCATCTTTGTTCTTTGACTCAGTGAGAATAGAGAGATGGCTTATCTCCTGCATAGTGCCCACGAGCCAGTGGTGGTTATAGTCCGTATTCTCTGGGGCAGAGGTCGGTCAGTCCATCTGCAGGGAAACTGCTGTTGATGTCCCACAAAAGCAGTCCTCATTTCTTCCACACTGGAATTTTGAAGGTGGCTTTAAGTGGACACCTGGGGTAAGGATTCAAACTGGAATTGCTTCCGACTGCAAAAAAACACACTTTGCGCCATGTATTTGGACGTTTACTCCTCGTGCACCTGTTGCAAAAATGCGCAAGTTTCTTAACTCCAACCACAACATCTGCAGCCAGCAGTATATTTGTGTACACCACGGTCTGTCGCTCGGTATGCCACGTATGGTGGGGTAAAGTGTGGGTGCTTCCACCTCTAGCATGGGAGAAGGGGCCAAAGTGCCCTTCAGAGTGGTTCTATGGACCTCTCCCAAAGTTGAGACCCTACCACCAACAGGGGCAGCGAGCAAGCAATTGCAGGGCTGCGCCTTTACAAGGGTTGCAGCCACACATCCGATTATCACGGTTGGCTACGTACGGTGCAAACAAAGTTCAACATACAAAGATCAAACAAAGATCCCCCATTCAGCCTTAACAGACTGTAGGGGCAAGTGCTGTTAGCGAGCATCTATAAATGCCGGCATGGCACACGAGGGGGTGGGTGGCCAACACCACACCCGGCCGCCTTTGTCTCCCCAGTGACCCCAGTGACAGTGTTTACACATCGCACCAGGTATTCATTTGTGGCTGAGTCGACCTAGGGGAGGCCCAGGACCGGTTCAGATAATCGTCACTGGTGTTAGCCGTGAGCGGGAATCGAACCCGTGTCGCCAGGTTCATAGCGCAGCGCGCTAACCGCTACACCACCGCTCCCCACAATATACATTCACACACATACAAACGTGCGCACCATCATTTACAACGAGAGGGGCTGCAAGCAGGCGGATTCATGACAACCGGCCCTTCGATTTAAAGCTTTCGTGACTGCAGGGATTCATCTTCTTGGTTCTTTCGGTAAAGTCACGTAGAAGGGAAGTAATAAAATAGACGCTGTCGCCTCGACAGACCTGGTTTTCACCTGAAGACGGCTGCTTGCGTTGTGGCCGAAACGTCGTGAGAATTATTTTATTATGTTTTATTTTTATGATTTTATTATTTCCCTTCTACGTGACTTTACCGAAAGAACCCAGAAGATGAACCGGCCCTTCGTCCGACTGAAACACACGCACGCACGGTCACGTGTCGTCACCTCTGCTCTTCGGGAGTGTCCTGCCCGTTGTGCAGCACCACCCTCCACATGTCGGCCGCCACCACCTCGGCCTGCTCCTCGGCCAGTGCGGGGCTGGGCAGCTGCAGCTCGCAGGCGCGGCTCTCCGACAGGCTGAAGTCCCGGTAGCGGACAAACACCATCTTCAGCTCGTCGTAGTACTCCAGCGAGCACGGCACCTGGAGTCCACGCGGCAGCAGCGACACAGCTCGTGAGGTGGAAGTGACTTGAGGACAGCATGGAGGGGATCGCCAAGCTCATAATAATGTAAACTATCTTGAGTATAATGAGTATAATGTAAAGAGTATAATGTAAACTGTTACATTTCGTCGTGAGAATTGTTTTCCAACTTACCAGCGAGATAAAAACGACAATAATTGGCACGGTGAAACGATTGTGCACTTGACGATTTAATTTGATCGGCTCTGTCGGACAGCAAAAGGTTTCGCGACGAAAAAAATTTGGCCCGATCTTTACGTGGCCCCAGCTCAGAAATCAATTGTAGTTTTCCAATGAGCCTGGAATGGGTTTATGTTACCTGCTATAACATGCACACGCACAGCCCTCCCCACACCACGTAGGTTGAGGGGGTTATAAGACGATACTTGCTGGTCAGTGTGGTTTGGTGAATGTGGGGCGCATAGATTGGGAACATAGTACAGTTAATCAATAGAGTTTGGTGCGCTGCCCCCCACATGAATGAGCTCCGCAGCAGCCTGTAGCACCTGTTACATGCACTGCCGTCGCCCATCCAAGTCACTATCCAGGCTAAAACATGCTTAGCTGTGAGATTTGATGGGATCGGACATATTTGATTTGGTCATAGGCATTATGACTTACGGATCAGAAAACGGAGCAAATGGTGAAGAGTGCAGAGAGAAGCATGGTCAGATGCATGCTTTGAATTACGCTGCGAGACAAAGGCGAACAAGTGGCTAGAAAAACACACACTCAAGCTAAAGACGTCACATTGATTTAAGCAAAGGAAGTTGGCTTGGGCGGGCGAGTAATCAAGACTAATGGTGAACAGCGAGCGGCATGTCTTGGGGTTGCGCTGCGTGTTCGGAGTATGGCTTCCTGGGGAAGCTCCCAGACGTGAGATACTCTGCCGCACGATACGCGTCACAACCCTAAAACAACATCGGAGACCGCTCGGCCACAGCGTGTTGCTAACAGGGGACACGGATGCGCATTTGGCCAGATCTTTACGTGGCCCAACTCAGAAATCAATTGTAATTCATGCCACGGTGGCGAGATGGTAACTACCTCGCCTGGTATACAGGAGGTCATTGAGTTAGATCCCGACCCTGACGCCTGGATATTTGGAGTTTGCGTGTTCTCCCCGTGGATCTTTCTCCGGGTCCTCCGGTTCTTCCCTCCAAATTTAGAATCACGCGTGTCGAGTGTTTGGCCGCTATAAATTTCCACGCGATAAGCCACTTCGTCGAGCTATCATTTTTGCAGCCAGGTCGCTTCTGAAAAAGAGCTACAACATAGCTCAGTGTGGCGGGGGGGGGGGCCTCACCTAGCATGATAAAAAAACAGTTCACAGTTTAGTTTTAGTTTAAGTTGCCTGTAAAACGTCGCCGAGGTCAGCAGTGCTGATGTCGGGGTCCTCGGTGGTGTTGAACGGCACCGGAGCGATGCGCACGCGCGTCAGCACGCGCGGCTCCGGGTAGCGCCACAGCATCGTGCCGGCGCTCTCCTCCGTCTCGTTGTAGAAGACGACCTCCTGCACGTTCGGCAGCAGCTTCTGACTCTCTGCGCGCGACGGGGGCCCAACGGGGAGCGTCGTGTGTTGGTACGTGCGTTGAAGCTTTGTCGCACCGTAGTCAATACGAGCACTTCTTTCGCGCCCGCGGCATAGCGCAGTTGGCCGCGCACGGTGCGCAAGTAAGTCCAACGCACGTACGTACGTAACGTTCAATATCGTACCCGAATGTATGATGGAAAAAGAATAGGCTTTATCCATCGCGGCAATGACACAGGAGGTGTTAAGAAGTTCAAACAAAGTTCAAAATAGACACCGATTGCAAGGCATCAAGTCTGCATTAACCACACATTATGCTTGTGGTAAAACATGCACACCAACGAGCTTTGATAATAATAATGTGTGCATTGTCCTCGGAACTGATTGGCTTACACCGGATGCAGCCTCCTTTATCGCCTTGTCTCACCACCAGTGTTAGACCAGGGAACGCCGAAAGGCAAACAGCACAAAGGCAATGCAAATATAAAAGCATGGAGAGCTCAGGTTGAGCAGCTATAATCTCAACGCCGTATTATTGCCGCGACGACGGGTAAAGCCTCTTCTTTTTTCCATCGTCTTGATAATGGCACAAAAAACGGCCCGAGAGACTGCTACATCACTTTCAGTTTCTGACAAATTTCCACACACGTGGAGTTAAATGCCAGACATCGTGCCAAACGACGCGCGGTAGAACATGAAGACCTCTCGAGCAGCTGTCCAGCGCAACCGCAAAAACCTACCCAGTGGATTTTCAGTTTTGGCTCCTGCCCCGTAGGAAGGATTCACATTGAAGTTTACACGAATACAAAAATCGCAAATTCTAAACACGTGTGATATCATACATGTGCCAGTGAGCATTCTAGTCTATTTTAATTGACACGCTGCTTCCACGTGTATAGAGGTAAAGGTGCAGCCCTGTAATTGCTTACTCTCGCCTCTCTGGACTACTCTTCCACGCTGGCGATTACCCACATTGTACCCAATAAGCAACCTAACCTACCAACTGATTAACCCTTTCCCATTCTGAGACATCTGCAAGTTGCAGGGTGCGGGACCCATTCACCTCTGAATCTGGGAACGCACAAGCGGCTCAGCGTTAATTTTACTTAGAGAGGCGTAACGCTGTTGTTTTTAAAGACACTGTAATCACCGCGGAGAACTGTAGCGACACGACCGCACTCTATGATAGCTTGCAGCAAACTGTGCCACGCGCCCTCCCGCATGGCCTTGTGGGAGCCTCGGTACTGACGACGTTATTTCATTTTTTCTTCCGGTTTAATTTTTGATAATGTACATGCACGTCATCGTTCGTGTACATCATCATACATCATCGGAACGGAATCGGAAGAAAAAAAACGATGACATGCATGTACGTCATTGCACATGTAAGTCATCGGAGTGTAATATCGGAAGTACAACTTACGACGTACACGGATGTACGCGCACGTCATCAAAACGGGAAAGGATTAATTGCGGTGCGTTCGTTAACACTGCCGCTGTGTAAAGACGTGCAGTCAACGTGAAGCGATCCATTGCCGGGGGAGGGAGGGGAGGGGAGGTGAGCTGGCGAGCCCGTCCACCTGCGTCGGGGATGTAATGGAAGAGGCCGGTGCGCAAGTCGTCGGCGCTGTGCTCGGCGGTGCAGGGCCTGGCACGGCGCTCCTTGGCATGGTCGGCCGCGGCGACGGCGCGATGCTGCGCCGGCTCTCTCGGCAGCCCCCGGTGCGACGCCAGCAGCTGCTGCAGCAGCGTGAGGCAGCGCACGTGTTCCTGGCCCCAGAAAACCTTGCGCGGAACAACAGAGACAAAGCCTTGACAAGATTCCGTAGGAGGCAAACGCTGTTGACGAGCATCTATGAAGGCCGGTTCACGACGGGGTGAGGTGGCCAGCACCACGCCCGAACCGCCTTTCTCTCCCCGGTGGCGATATTTACACACCGCACCGGGTACACTCGTTTGAGGCTGAGCCGATCTAGGGGACGCCCAGGACTGATTCAGATAATCGTCCATGGTGTTGGCCGTGAGCGGGAATCAAACTCGGGTTGCTGGGTTCGTAGTGCGACGCGTTGACTCTTACGCTACCGCGCGGAGCCGCACACACGCGTACACACACCGGCTCAGCGTTACCGGTGCACTGCTGCATCTGTGTTTGTTACCCAAGGAGTGAGAACCACGGTGGCAAGATGTTAAATGCTTCGCCTGGTATACAGGTGGTTGTGGGTTCGATCCCAACCCTAACGCCTGTATATCTGGAGTTTACATGTCTATCTCCAGGTGGTCACGCAGATTTTTCTCCGCGTCATCCAGTTTTTCCCTCCAGATTTAGAATCAACATGCGTTCCGAGCATTTGGCTGCTATAAATTTACACGCGATAAGCCACTTCGTTGAGCCTTCATTAGTGGCGAGGTCGCTTCTGAAAAAGAGCTACGTAGCTCAATGAGCCTTCACCTGGCAAAATAAAAATAAACACAGTTTAGTTCGTAGTTTATTCTCACCGAGGGCCAAATAGGACTTTCGAATACCTTTGGGAGGGGTCACGCATTCGCACGCACCTCGCCCACTGCTATCCTTGCAAGAGGTAAACTTTTGTTGCTTCTGAAGAAAACGGCCTTCTGCCGGGAGAATGTGGAATTTCCACCCAAGGTTCAGGACCATCGATGGAGGCGCGCAAAGCGCCCATCTGTTCGTTTGAGAAGAGAGACACTTGGACTTTATGTGACATCTCTTTTGGCGCATTCGCTGTATTATTTACAGCCTTTGATCATTCCGCTACGAGATGAAGGCCCCTACAACTGATCGATTATGTACGTTGTTTGACCATACTTCACCACGTTGGTCGGTTCGGGTTGGCGAGGGTAGTGCCGCCGAGGACTGGTTTACGCAGCACTCACCGCTAATGTTGGCCGTGGCCCGGGAATCAAACCTCGGGTCACCGGGGCTTAGAGCGCAATCCTCTAACTACGGCTGCACCCGCTGTGGATATGCCACATGTTTTAAACTACGTACATACACGCAGGTAAGAAACCCTAGCGGACGCAATACATCTTACAAGTTGAATAGAGGAAATTCATAAATATTGCTCCAGCTTTAACGTCTATATTTAAGAGTCCTGCTGTCAGTATGAAGCAAAAAAAAATGTGCGTATGCATGCGTATGTGCAGCTCGTAGTTTTATTTTTCATTTACAGGAAGCCTACGTTCTATTTGATTCATTACCTTTGCCTTACTTGTGTCCCATAACAAAAACAACGTTAAAATCATCATCGCGAATTCTATTTTATGCGCAGCGTTTGAAGTTGGCTCCAAAAGCACAACCAGATGTCCCGAACCTATCTCGACCATCACGCGGTGGTGAAGGGGCATTTTTGCTCCACAAATTTCGACTGGCGTCTCCTGCGCCGCTCCTCCCAGATGCTCATCGCACGTTCGTTTGGGTCGAAGGTCGTCCGCTAATTTGAAATGTAACCGTCACACTTGCAACACGTGCCCGTTTCACTCCGCGGTTTGTCAGGCGGCGACCAGCGAAGCTCCGAAGAGCGGCAAAAAATGTACCTCCTGAATCTAACAAGTGAAATGTACAACTGTACAACTGTACGCCATTAGACACGCTTGTGAAAATAAGTGCTATAAGCAAGGAGGCATCGGCAGGTGCTTAGAGGAAACGTTTTAAAGAGACTTTCAGCGGCACCAAGAGAGCACTCCGTAGCACCAACACAGCACTGCCGAATGTTTCACCTCGACATCCGTGTCACTTTTGAAATGCACTTTAAAGTCCCTTTTTCTGCTATGAACAACTCAATTCGGACTGCAGAGAACCAGCAACCTGAGGAACGAATGTACAAGACGACGATTCAGTTTAAGCCTACGTGTTAAATTGAATAACGTTTGGGGTTCATCCTTCTTGAACAAGGGGAGACCTACAATATCTGTGGTTGCGACAAAATGGACCGCAAGGAATGAGAAGAGCAGCAGCGACTACATTCCCTCGCGCCGCGCACGCACGGCACGGGCTGCGTCTACGCCTGCTCACTCCACCACCGAACGAGTTATTTGGTCCCGGGACCAGCGAATCTCTGCTCAGGAAAAGCACCAGCGAGGGCCGGCTGTCCAAGGCAAGTGTCGGTGGGATGCGAAATCAAGCAAAGGCCTCGGTGGGCCACAATTCATGAAAATAGCCGAGGCGAATCAAACCATAACAAAAGATGAACAGAAAAGCAACGAGTATTTATCTCAATCCTTATCTCGTTACATCTCTCTAATTATTTTGTTTCTATTTCTGTTATCTCACTAGACCCATATATGTTGGCTGTCACTCTCCCGCAATCTTAAAAGGGTGCCCAGAAATCAACGTATGTATGCTGAAATTCTTTCGCACCGTATTAGCCAGCCATGCTGATCGGAGGCGTGGCGGAAGGACAACAAACTAAACAGAAAAAGCATTTATAAAGAAATTAGTTGTCAATAGAGATTATTTAAAAGTGCATGGCTCCAGTGGCTTCCTAATATCAGAAGGAAGAGCATTCCAGACGGCCGCAGAAGCGCATCTGGAAGCACGCGATGCGGCGACCGTCTTTGTTCGATGGCCAGCCGAAAGCCGCTGCAGCGAGGATGACCACTGGAGCTCGCGTGATGGTTTACGCTCCTTGACGAGATCAGCAAGCTCATCGTGGTTCATTTGCGGCAAGCACTTTGTGTGTAACGGGCGCGACCTCATAACTTATACGTTCGGCAAAATGAAGATTACGTCTGGCTTAGGGTGCCAGGGTACCCCCCCCTCTCCCCCCTGAGCGGGTCAGCACCACAACCAGCGGTGTTGGGGGACGCTCTCACCTGCACGAGGCCCAGGTCAACGTAGACCAGCAGCTTGGGGAGCACCTCCGAGGCGCCGCTGTGACTGCACCACTTGGCGTCGGCGCGGACGCTGCCGCAGAACGGGCCGAGCAGCGAGCGGGAGCAGTCGCGCAGGCTGGTCTTGAGCAGCGCGTCCGTGAGCCGCACCTCGGCGGACAGCGACTGCAGCGAGCCTGCGGCGAGGACAAGTACGCGGGGACGAGTCAGCACGTGCGGCGATAGGCCCGGCGACAACTACACGGGCTCGTCGATTTATTTTACCGGGTGAGGCCCACTTTTTCAGAAGCGACCTGGCCACGAATGAGAGCTCAACGAAGCGGCTTGTCGCGTGGATATTCATAGCGGCCAAATACTCCAAACGCGTGATGTTGATTATGAATGTGGAGGGAAAAACCGGAGGACCCGGAGAAAAATCCACGCGACCACGGAGAGAACACGCAAACTCCAAATTATACAGGCGTCAGGGTTGGAATCAAGCCCACGACCTCTTGCACACCAGGCGAGGGAGATCACATGTGGCCACTGTGGCGTCCCATCATCATCATCATCAGCCAACTGAGTGATGGATGGAGGCCTCCCCAAGCTGTCCACCACCTCTCGCAATCCTGCGGAGTGATAATTCATCGAGAACCTGCGTAGTGCGCATTGATTTCATAGCTCCGTCTCCTCGGTGGTCGTACTACTCTCGGACACGTTCCATTCTTTGGCCGCCACTCCATAATTGTTATTCTTTGACCATGGGACATCAACGCTTCCTGCGATGTGTCCTACCCCAAAGCCTTACCATCATCATCATCACTTATGTATTAGTACCACACTTCGTTGAGTTATCATTTGCAGGAAGGTCGCTTCTGAAAAAGAAGCTAATAGCTCAGTTGAGTTTTATTCAGCATATTTTTTCGTGATTTACTCACCTTTCCTGTACTTTACACTCCCATCGTATATTTGCATTGTTTGTTGTCGTAACGCTCTGACTGACCCGCCCCTCTGTGAAAAATAACTTTATAGCTCACTGGATACCTCCAGCATAAACAAACATTCTGATTCTGACTTTTACAATGATGCAATTTGCAAGGAATGTATCAACTGTTGACAGATGATACCAGCACGCATGGCCTCCCCTATTTTTAAATAAGGTTATGTGCTCTTAAACGTCCGCTGCGATCGCACCGAAACATATTTTATGGTTAATACACCCGCGCAATATGAAGCTGGGCGCCTGCTGGGCTAGAAGGTAAAACCTCTGCTTCAAGCGGCAATGCGCTGCTGCTGCTGCTGCCGCCTCTGCTGGGCAATGTCACCAACGTAAGGTCGCCGTTGGTGAACGACAGAGAAATGTGCTCCTCCTCCTCCTCCTCGAGAGAGAGAGGGCCACACCGCTGACCCCCGTTTCAAAGGGATAATTTTATACTTAAAGCACAACAAGACACATAAGGCAACACTCACTTTGGCAGATAGCATTTCCTTGGTGTCAGTTAAAATTTCCTGCCTTTTTTGTTGTTTCACTAAACAAAAATATGCAGGAACGGAATGCCGCATCGAGCGTTCTCACTGCCAACGGCTGATGTCACGCTTTGCTTTGCCAGTTGGTTATCATTAGAGAAAAACAAAGTGCACCGAAAAACGGGGTTTCTCTCCCACAGTGCTCTTCACCGTACACTCAATTGTAAAATTCTGGCTAATTTATTACCTCAAATTAACCATTACACAGATGCAGATGCCATTAATTCTGATGTGTTCCTTCTGATAGTTTGGGGGGGGAGGGGTGGCGGAGGTGCAATGAACAAAGACATTGATTAAGTAGTTCACCAAAGTGCCCAGAATTCCCAATCCACGAAAGCAAAGGGCTTTTATTACAAAGCAGGTGTTGCCACTAACGACTCCTGGCTACGCACTATTCCTAACAGCTGAATTCTTGGGTCGGAGGTTGATGGATGGCAGGGCGCCACAGTTTCACACTTCCAGAATCTCTATCACGGGCATTAGCGTGAAACATTGCCGGGGTTCAGCCCAAGTTCAAGCCAATGGCATGTCTGCAGCCAACAGCACCATGAAAGCTATTAAAATAATCAGCCTCTGCTGCAAGGGAACTGGGAATTTCTGCAGTAACTCCCCTATAACGCCGAGGTTAAGGCTTGGCTCCCATTATAATAAATGCATATCTTGTGTTTCTGATATGAGTCACCGACAGAGATTAATCGTCGAGGCGAGTGATCCGTTTTGCGGCGGCCTGTTTAGACATTTTTTTTTCTTTCACGCATACGATTTGCGTCAACCTAATACGTTGTGTCGAAGCAATAAAAATGGTTGGCTGGGCCCAGTGGCTGTGGATGACACATGTCCTTTTCAACCGGGATTTTCCTCGCAAAGGATTTACAGATGTTTTCATAAGGCCCTGTACGCCATTCCTACGCTATCTGAGAGCCATTTTCAATGCTTGAAAAAATGCGAGCCCCTTAAAGAGTTCATGCTTTTCTGAGCGAGGGCTCCACCAAACCACCCCTCCCGCCACTCCTCCAAAAAAAGTGCACGTGCCATCGACAACAAACAAAAGAGCAGAATGTAAAACTCCCTTCATCCTCAGAGAGCTCGCAAAGAGGATTCCTTGGCTCAAGCAGCAATGCAACCACACTGGATCCTTGTTCATTTACAATGGTCGCCCTGAAACATGTGCTTAATAAGCCCGGTGGACTGGCACGCCATCAAACGCATCGCTCATGCGGCACTCGATGCCGCAGCAAAACGCGCATCGGGAATTCCGGCGGTCAGGCGTTTTGGGAGGCAACCTGTCTCGAAAGATGGCCTTTTACGCCGCTCGCAAGAAGTGCGGCGTTAATTATCCACTCTTCCTTCTTGATGCGGTCAGATTGTGGGGCTCGTCTTATATGGCTCACTTAAAGATCAAGAGCTCCACGTTTGGCTTGAGACTCCGGGTCGTGATGTCCCGCACATGTGGAGCCGGGATGAGCAGGAAACAACTTTGTGTTTGCAGCGAGCCTCCCAGTCGACTGATATCAATCGGCGATGGGACCAGCTGGCAAGGCCAAGCCAATGCTAAAATGCGCAGCCCGTAAGGCAATGGCCGTATTTACGGTCAAGAGGTACAGCAACAACAAGAAAAAACGTAAAAGCTCTGATATATGAATTGGGTGCTTATTAAGCGGACTTCAGTGGAAAATATACTACAAAGAAATTTCAGCGAATGTGCTTCACCCCGGAGAATCCCACACACCACCATCCGCCCGCACGCTCGCCCGCCACATCTGCGGAAATTTATTTCTAAAGAAAATGGCAACTCCATATGAACTCTATAGGCTGTAGATACGTGTGGCGGTTTTTAATTTGAACCTTCAATAGTTACAAGATGTGCAAAAAACGATGTTCATCCTTTTTTACAGAGAAGCAACGGGCCGCGTGCGACGTGCGTCCACTGGCGTCAGTCTGGACTGCGTTACCTGGACACAGTGAGGCATGCTCGTTTCGAATACACGGGGGTAATCGTGTGCAATGAATTAGCCGCGTTACATATGAAAGGAGATTTGTATTGGGATCCGCAGATTCTCTGAACAAAAACACTTGACTGAGAACAACTGAATTGAGTACGCACAATTTTTCAATGAGGATTCTGCTCACATCCACAGTATTCAAACAATTTTCATTGTAAAGTGCCATCTCTAACCGCAAGTCAGTCAACCCTTCTAGACCCTCTCATCTCTCTGCTCCAACGAAGAGCCACTGCCTCAAACATCTACCTGTTACGATATTTTTTTTACTCTCTTATAAGGCAGTGATATCGAGTGTGGTGTGAATGTTTCAGAGTTTGTGCTAATTCAAGGCAAACAGCTTGGCCAGTGTTGAGAAATAAATGACTTTTAGCCTAAGATGACGGTGGCTTTAAAAATGACAAAGGCCTAATGCTCGAAGGCAAATAATATCTCTTGGCTCAAGCGACAAGGTTTTCAATTACTTCCGAGATTTTTTTTTAAGACTATCGTTTATTGACAATCAATATGACATCTCCTATTTGGGCTTGTTCTCTGATCCATGTGTTCTCCTTTGCATTGGCCAAAATAATTACAAAGCACGCATTCCCTGCACGCTTCTTTGCACTTCTCAGCTTTCGTTCCAACTTCATTGCCAGTGACCTCGATTCCGATCCATGTCATTGCAGTTAATGTGCGCACAGAAAAGTTCTTATGTAGGCACATTGGTATGTTGCTTTTCATCCAGCAGTTGACGGATCGTTACTCGTGGTTATGATGACCGACTGATTACGATGAAATACTGGGGTGGTAAAGTGAATATCTGGATGGTACAGAGACGCTGTGCTAGCAGGAAGGCTTATCCGAATCTCACACTGCCATGCAGTGTTTGGCACGGGAAGTCACAAATTAGTGTTTGACCCACAGTGTGTAGGGCTTAACTGAACCTTTGTTTTTATTGTACCATGTAAGGCCCACTGAGCTATATAGCGGCCAAATACTCTCAATGTGTTAAATTTTGATATAAAGCTTTCGTGACTGCAGGGATTCATATTCTTGGTTCTTTTGGTAAAAGTCACGTAGAGGGGAAATAATCAAATGATACAAATATAAAACGATAATATATACTCTCAATGTGTGTTGCTAATTGTGGAGGGGAAAACCGGAAGAACCCGAGAAAAATCCACGAGACCACGGGGGAGAACGTGCACACTCTAAATATTCAGGCGACAGGGTTGGGATTAAACCCACGACCTCCTGTATACCAGGCGAGGGAGTTAACATCTCGCCACCGCAGCTGTAAATGGAGATGATCACTGCCCCTCAATCATTCACGCAGGGAATCACTTTGGCTCTTTAACAGAGGGGTCGGATGCAGGCAGTGGCGGCACTAGAAAAACTGGTGCAGCAAATTTAAAATGTGATAAACAATCATCTAATTCACGTTAAAATACAATTCGTAGATCTGATCTACATCTTGTCTCCATTTATCTTCTTTCATCTGACTCTACCTTTACCGTCTGTCTACAACCGTTTCATTTCACTAAAGTCTTCTGTCATCTGCGGTGCATCATGTCTCATCTCACTGCACCTCAATCATTTTGTCTACACCATTGGTCTCACCACGTCTGTATTGTTGTCACGAGGACTGTATGCATTAGAAGGGGTGTCGCTTACTGTATAACATAATTCCTGCTTACGGCAAACCCTCTATCCCACCCACAAAGGGTCGGCACCACCGCTGTGCGGACGACAACAAACCCTCCCACGGACGGGGGGTGGGGGGGTGGGTGACCGACGCAAGTCCACCGTACCGGCGGCGCTGCTCCTCACGTCGACCCTCGCCGACAACGCCGCGACGGACGCGCCGAGCGCCGGCCTCTCGGGGTGCGGCACGCACTCGACCGCCACCACCGCCTGGCACGTGGACACCGACACGCTGCCCACGAGCGCCAGCGCCTCCAGCAGCAGCTGCCGTCGCTGCTGGTCCCCTCCTCCTCCTCCTCCTGCTCCCGCCGCAGCCGCCGCGTCCTCGCACTGCTCCCGGCCTCCCGACGCCAGTTCGCCGGTCGACCCGGCGCTCCGGCCGCCTTCCGGCCGCTCCGACGCCGAGAGTTTGGCCACGAAGCGGGCCACCTGGTCCAGCTTGCCGAGGCTGGGGCTGATCTTGCACGGGCGGCCCAGCTCCACGTGAATGCTGGCTGCGCACGGGGCAGGGGAGGGGTGGTTCCACCACAGGTGCACAATCAACGTCGAGGGGTAACAAGAGGTAAAGGTGCAGCCCTGCGACCGCTGGCTGGGGAGGCGCCCCGTGAGATCTATTTTGAAGTCGGTCCAAATGCGTGTGAAACGTATGCAGCTGTTGCAATGTAACTACTTTCATAAATTTTTATTTGTAAAAAAAGAAGTACGGCCGCGCCTTCAAATAGGCCACTGCCGGTGTCACGTAACGCACAGCTCTGCGCGTGCTTGTTCAGCGGGAGGGCATCCGCTAGAGGGAGCTCTAGAGAGAGCCCCTATCGAGTATAATTTGGTCTACTCATCCACGCTGGCCTAACATCTTGGAAGCAGCTGGATTACCCGCACTTAACCTCACCACATGCGATCTGCTGACCGACTACGGTGTACATAATTTATTCGGCAGGGTGGACAGAGGGCAGGAAGATTCAAGAAACTTGCCCCGTTGTTTCAACCACAGTGCTAACCATTTACAGCACAGCAGCATCCACAATCAAAACGCTCTTGATGTTTTACAAGATTTTCGGTTTTTTTTCATTCTCAGTTGGGTTTTCATTACTGATCCTAAAGATGCGCTGAAGTAATTTGAAGGCGTGCAGATGCGTGCGTACATAAACAAGCAAAATGAGAAATGCGCAATCATTCCCATCTCGTAAGGTTGGAATAGTTTTAAAATTTCCGTTTTGACGTTTTTCCCAGACAAGGCATTTGCTTTAATAGACGGAGTTCCAGTCAAATGGGCACTGTTTTAACAAACGATGGTATTTATGTCTCCCAAAGCCAAACGCTTTACAGTATGCTGCACAAGCTCACATTTGGTGATCATCTGTGTTTTGAAAACTGGAGCATTGATCCGTACACTTCAGTGAATCAGAAGTTGTTTTTAGAATTGGGAGTTTTAGTTCCTCCATCTGCCAATGCCGGCGCGAGGGGGGGGGGGGCGTCCAAATTAAATACACGGAAAAGTGATGACAGAACACTTTAGAGCTTCAATCTTTAAACGACCAAGTAAGTGAAAAATCCCATCAAGCATGACAGGACTGAGGAAGCAAAAAAAAATCCACCAAACGACATCGTGCCATGGCTGCTGCTGCTGCCGCTTGCGGGAGTGCTTTACAACCCCGACAGATTTCCTTTGAAGTGAGCTGCCTGTGATGGCGGCGAAATGTGCGGTGCAAATGTAACCATTAAAATAGGGGTGTAAAAACACGAGCTTACGGGACTTTTTCTTCAACTCAACCCTCAAAGTTAAAACAACAATAACGTATTTCTTGGGGTTTTTTTTTTTACGTGCACGTTCAAAAAGTGTAATTTATGTATTGTTCACAAATCCCAGTCGGCCTGCAAAATGTATTCTAGCCCGGTGTGCACTCCGCAGTGGTAAGAATAACTGAAGAGTTTGGAGATTCATTATAAATGAGACCTAAATGTAACACCGATATTGAAACGTTTACAAGAACAAATATGTGTTAATACACGCAATGGGACAATAACAGTCTGATAATGATGACATTTTGTGTGAAGTGTATATTATGAATTGTAACAGTTTACAGCATTTCAAGTCACTGCCATTATCACAGAATAAATAGATTTAGCAATAAAAGTGCCACGAACATTCATATTAATATTCGTAGACAAGCATGCTGCGTGTGTTTAGCAAGACATTTAACAAGTCTGCAATGTGAATGAATGTTCTCTGAATTATGCCTTTGAGCATGCAGATCTTCTGAATATATATATGCAGTATTGTAATACCATTCCACCTTGATTTGTGCGGTGTATAAACACGTGTCTATCTCTGGAAACTGTGCGAGTCGTAAAACATAAATGGTCCAGACAGGTCAATGAAGACCTCTGTACCGGAGGAAACTGCTGTCTTGAAATAGGGGTGTCTCTCAACAAGTGTCATTATGGGTAATCTTTGTGCACTCTTGCCTGTGTTATTCTAGTGTGGTCTGCGCTTCCATTTACCACCGAGTCTCGTATCCAGCCAACCTCAACTGCACTCGCGCCTGTGTGCGTGTGCCGACGCAATTGCGACAATGCTATTGATTTTCAATGAAACGTGCAACGATCCATCGATTCTACCATTGATATTCTGATAGTTCAGAATGTAGGCATTGAATCGCAAACATGAGAATCAATGTTTTAGATTCATGTGTGGTAGCTTCGAATAGCACTGCTGGCTACGCGCGGTGCAAAATAACTTCAACATACATTCGTACATACATATCATGGGATTGCACAACCTATGCAGCCACACGTGGTTGCTACATCGAAACAAAAAAACAAAACCTTGCTGCTTGAACCCCATCATGCTCCTGATCATTCATTATACCTCAATTTCTAATAGATTTCCAAATGATTAATTTAGAGCCCTTTGGCAATCCACTGCTGGATGAAGGCCTCCCGACACCATGTTTGTCTGATTGGTGGGGTCAAGCTCAGATATCACTCGTGACTAGCCGGATATCCGATTCACCGACATTGACACTGCGGTGCGCGATGGTCACTGTGCCATAGCTCCGTCAACAGGCTCTGTTGGCCATTCATGAAATGTGCACGCAATGTTTAACCTCTAAAAATATACACAAATAGAAAACACACACACACACACCCACACAGAAAAGCCTCCGTTTTGTTAAATGGGCATCCTTAAAAAGGGATTACTGCACCGTGACCCCAACGTCTTCATATGAAAACCAAGAAGCAGCAAGACCTTAAGATGCCACTGCATGTAAGTGACCTTCCCTCCCACGACAAGACTTGGTAATGGATTACTTAGTATGCCAGACGGGTGGGCAATCCCAACAGACATGTAAATCTGGCGCTGAAATGTTGGATTAAAGCTCCAGCAATTGTGCTGCTCGGGAGACAGGCTAAAGGCTGTGTTTATGGGAAAGCTGTTAAGTTCACAGTGCAGGAAGGGAGGGGTTGACAGGGTGAGAGAATGAGAGAGAGTTGGAGGAGGAGGAGGAGGGATGGGCGTGTTTGCCACGACAGCACTAACAAGGCGAAACACAATGACTGCTTTTAGACATCCAAGGGCAATTCATTAACAAAGTGGGGGTTGGAATAATTGGCTGTAAACATTGTCTGTGTTCCACTTAGTCACGCCCATTGCGCCGTGGCCTGTCTCAGGGTCAGTCCCTTACATGTGTACTACTTGCTTTGTGTTTTCTTTTTGCTCGGCCACTTGCTCTGCTTCAGTACGCTGGTGATACGTGTGGGTGCGTAAACAATAATAATAGCGCTTTTTTAATGAGTTTTTGATCAAGGAAAACAATTCCTCGAGCTTAAAAAAATTCCGTTAAAGGCTTTTTAAGCAGAATAGCAGCTATTATTTATCTCGCAAGATCTCGGAATAAAAAAAATTACATGGGCGACACCGCATTGGCAGTGGTGCACAAGCACAAATAACGCGACAAAAACGCAACGCATTCGTCAATAACACCGTGGCCTTCAGATGAATAATACATAACGAGTGACGTATCAGGCATCGCCCTTCGTCAGAGCACACAAATGAGCCCGGATACTGCAAAGTCGGGCGACCACCATGCACAAGCAGGTTGTCACAGTAGACGGCAGAAAGCAATGCAGCAACATCCATCGCTGTGGCTCACGCAGCTCACGCGGCTCTCATGGCTCACCCGGCTCGTTGAGGAAGTCTCGTATTTGCAGGGAGAGGAGGCCCGGGGGTACGCCCGTGCGTGCGTCCGTCTCTCCGCACGTGGTCTGCAGCCACGACACCGAGTAGTCCAGAGGCTCCGGCAGCGACTTGCCAGGATCTGCGCAGAGCGCGTCGTGGACGGGTACGAGAGTGAAATCGTGCGCTCGCTAGCTCGCACGCGCAGTGAGCGTGCGAGAAGAGACACGGGGTTTGTAGTATTTACGTGTTTTACAAACGAGGATATGTTGGTTGCTAACGGTGTTTCAGTGCAGAAACCAATAATAAAACACATCTACTGGGTCAGTATTTTTGGCATTATGTCATTTTAAACGAGGCTGCAATAAAATTGCATTTTATATTTGCATAGAAAGATACTCTTCTCTGATCATCTATTAATTTGTGACACACACAATCCTCCACAACAGTGGATGAAGGGTGTTGCGCAACGATTAAATGAGAGGGGGTTAAAAGGGGGAAACAAACGGACAAAACGTCACCTCCCGACTTGTAGTTGATCGCCGCCCCCTTGATGGAGGCGTCGAAGCACGAAAAGTCCAGCTTCTGCGTGCGCCGATGGCAGCTGAGCAGCACGGACGGCTGGTGCACCAGCGCGTACAGGAACGGCTCCAGCTGCTGCGACCCGTCTCCGGACTTGCGCCCGGGTTGTCGCACCACCGTGAGCCCCAGGGCCTGCCTCGCCGACGACCTGCCGGGCACCCGCAGGCTTTCCGGCGGCAGGAACCTCCCCGCGGCCGTGCACGGCGCCGCCGTGTGGCCCCCGAAGCGCGCCGGCGGAGACGGCGGCGGCGGCGCCGGCGGAGCCGTCGGCGGGAGGTCGTCCGCGGCGGTGGCGGCGGCCGCGCAGCTGGAGCCCGGCCGCGCCGGGTAGAGGCTGGCCTGCGAGCCGCTCTGCGACGGCGGGGGGGCGGTCGACGCGGGGCCGGGCTCCTCCGGCGCCGGCCGCGCGCCGCCCTGGGCCTCGGGGGGCGGCTGGCCGTCCGCCGCGGAGCTGGCCGCGCTGCTGCTCGACGCGCTCTCGCAAGGCGCGGGGGGCCTCGGCTGGGAGCCCGGCGGCGGCTCGGGGCACCTGCCCTTGACGGGCGTCGCCGAGTAGGTCATCGCGGAGATCTTGCTGGCGGTGAGGAACACGTCGAAGGGGACGAAGCTGCGGCTCTTGACGGTGGACGACTGGCGCGACGCGCAGGGGAGGCGCTGCTGCTGCTGCTGCTGCTGCCGGTGATGTACGAGCGACGCAGGGTGCTCCGTGTGGACGAGCCGTGCCGCGGCACTGTCGCTGCCGATGCCGCTGTCCTGCGCCCGGCTGTGCCGTGATGCCGCGTCCACGGACGTTGCCGCCGCGCCGTCAGGCGGTTTCGTGCCGATCGGCTGCAGGTGCTCGGGTGTGACCACCTGGAAAGCAAGAGAGGGCATTGATAGGGTCCACGCGCGCGCGTGCGCACAATTGCAACACATCCGCAACGTAACATTTATAAAGGTCATAATCATAACTCGATAGATTGTAAGATCAACATTTCACTATGCACGAAGTATACCTTTGTTGTATAATGCAGCTTACAACCAAAAGCACGCGACCGAAAAGGCCTTGAGCACGCCCGTTCTCAGAAGGTAAGAAGAGGTGAGCCGGGATAGCGCTTGGACGATGTGTCACCGTCACGCGAAACAGGTGTCACAGGCAGCATGGCAGTGCGGTGGGCAGCAGAGGGAAAGCGCGGCGAAATCCAACGCCGTAGTGTACCCCTATGCTCCCCAAAAAGTCACCAACCCGCGCTGACCAGCGCGACCAAGTACGGTGAAATAACCCCACGGGGCGTGGGGAAGGGGGGCCCCGCGTCCATCCTGCGCAACGTGCATAAGAAAAAACAAAAGCCGCCGTTTATAGGCAGTGTTTGTTTATGATGACGATGGGAAAAATACCTCCTAGACACTTATTATTTCTCGTTGATCACAGAAACCCTATCCTAACCTATTTGGAAATCTACTGATGGATTGTCTCAAAATCATGAGGTTATTATGACCATACTTCTCTGAGCTGTCAGTGTGTGTAGGTGCAGGAAGGGGGAGGAGGGAGGGGAGGCAGTGAGGGGTGGGGACAGGACCAGATCAATTACCAGCCTCCAATAATATTAGCCATCGGCATTCCCGTGGCCGGAGAATCGAACTCAGGCGGGCCAAATGAATAGTGCGGCTCACCAACCACTGCGTCACCGTTCACTTCCTGCCCTCGACATCCTTTATAAATGTAAGGTCCCAAGGTGGCTTCACGCACACCCGCATCTGTGACTGCACTTGAATGAGTACAGGGATCAACTTGTGATGTGTCCATTGCCTTACCATTCCACTCCAATTGCTCAACCTCGAAAGTCTCCACTTTCTGCCCGGTGTAATGCCCCGCTGTATTATCTAAAGTGGATTCCAGTGGAAAATTAAACACTCTTATCGGGCGGCACCATCAGCATGGCTGACTCGAAGCAAAGAGTGCGGGATCACACTGAGATTTCACGAAGCAAATGGGTTGCATGGGTCACACTTGTGCATTCTGGAAGTCCACCAGGTGGAGCCATACAAAAGTGTATTTCATTAAAACGTGGAATTTTCTCTTGCTAATTTTTTTTTCTAACATAAACCAGACACCGGTCATGCGATGCCAGTGAGTATCCCGCGTCTCGGGCAAAATGACAAATATACGAGAGGTATTTATATTAACTGTACGCACATGATTAAGGATGATTACTAAATGCACAGTTATAATACGCATTCTCATGAAAAATACGAGTCAAAATCAAATAGTCCGTTCATTAGCTTAAACAAAAAAAATTCTGCCGGATTAGTTATTTCTGATTTGTTTAAATTTGTGTATTAACAAACTTTGGGCCAGAAGGCAAATTCGTGAGTCAAAATTGCAGCCGAGCGTCTATTCCTGCCAAGGCATCGGCTCTCGCATTTGCTCATTCTCAATTTAATTGAATTTCTCATATTTTTTAATCAGCCTAATTGTTTTAGGGCAGTGCAAGCTGCTAGTTTAAACAGCAGCTTAAATAACTCTCCCGTGCAGGTGGAAAGTTTTTGACATTTGGAAATTGCCAATTCCCCTACAGGCGCCAGTTATACGCAGCAATACATCAACAGCAATCAAATGTTGGGTTGCTCCCTAGCCGGGCTAAACACCGAGGATGGCATACTTGCTTGTTTTGTAAATTCTCACAAAAACATGTATATGTATAAAGATCCCCCGTATAGCCTTAACAAACCGTTAGGGCAAGTGCTGTTAGCGAGCACCTATGAAGGCCGGAACGGTACACGAGGGGGTGGGTGGCCAGCATCACGCCCGACCGCCTTTGTCTCCCCAGTGGCGATGTTTACACACCGCACCAGGTACTCATTTGAGGCTGAGTCGACCTAGGGGAGGCTCAGAACCGGTTCAGACAATGGTCACTGGTGTTGGCCGTGAGCGGGAATCGAACCCGGGTGGCCAGGTTCGTAGCGCAGCGCGCTAACCGCCACACTACTGCTCCACACATATATAAAAGACAAAGATCCCCCGTATAGCCTAAACAGACTGTAGGGGCAAGTGTTGTTAGCGAGCACCTATGAAGGCTGGAGCGGTACACGAGGGGGTGGGTGGCCAGCATCACACCCGACCGCCTTTGTCTCCCCAGTGGCGATGTTTACACACCACACCAGGTACTGATTTGAGGCTGAGTCGACCTAGGGGAGGCCCAGAACCGGTTCAGACAATGGTCACTGGTGTTGGCCGTGAGCGGGAATCGAACCCGGGTGGCCAGGTTCGTAGCGCAGCGTAGCGCTAACCGCTACACCACCGCTCCCCACATATATATACGCACACACAGAGGTTACTGCTTTAGGCTCAACAAAGCGAACGTAGATAAACAGAACCGGGATCCGAGGGGTCACCGTGTCTGGTCGAGATGAGTGGCTCTTGAGAAGGCAGAGAGAGAGAGAGGCAGCGGAGGCAGAGAAAAAAAAAGAGAGAAAGAAGGAGATGATATTCTTGGGTCTTTCGGTAAAGTCACGGAGATAGATTTTCTTTGAACCGATCTACGTGACTTTACCAAAAGACGCAATAATATGAATTCCTGCAGTCACGAAAGCTTTAAGTCAAGATAGAAGGGGATGATGTAGAGGTGAGGGACGGAGAGCACACGACGCGGTAAGATAATTTTAAAATCTCTTTCTTTAGAACTGCTTTTTAGTGTTTAGTTTAAATTTCGATTTAAAGCTTTCGTGACTGCAGGGATTCATCTTCTTGGTTCTTTCGGGAAAGTCACGTAGAAGGGAAATAATAAAATAATAAAAATAAAACAATCAAATAATTTTCACGACGTTTCGGCCACAACGCAAGAACAGGTCTGTCGGAAAGACAGCGTCTGAATGACGTCTTTCAGACGTTGTCTTTCCGACAGACCTGTTCTTCACCTGAGGACGGCTGCTTGTGTTGTGGCCGAAACATCGTGAGAATTATTTTATTATGTTTAATTTTTATTATTTTATTATTACCCTTCTACGTGACTTTACCGAAAGAACCAAGAAGAAAAAAAAAAGTGTTTCATTTGTTGCCCTACCCCCGCGCCTTTGATTAGCACGGTTTGGCGCAGAAGAAGTTCAACATCCATACGCACATTGCGTAGGAACGCATCGATCGGAGAGATGTCGACGGGTAGATACATACGTGTACACACACGCACGTGAATCCGATGAGATACGGCTCAACACAAGGGGAGTGCACCTTCCCATTGATAGGCAGCGAGCCCTTTGAGAGAGCTCCATGACGTTCAAACACGACGGGAAATCTAGCGCATCGGACTCAGCCAACGTTCAAAATGAGTGCACCGTGTTTGTAATTGTGTTCGCCTGTCAAGTGTACGAGCCAGCTGGTGCTGTCGTTGGACGGCCACCAGAGGCGAGAGCGAATCGACGGGGCGAGGGTGAAGCGAGGTTTATTTGTCATGGGGGGATTCTACCCGCTAATCCGGCTGTGCGCTAAATAATCACACGGCCATGGCAAATAATCCCACCGCTTCAGTGCCTTGTAAGCAGCCAAGTCAACAATTGTCTGGCTGCAGTCACCGCGTACGACAACCGGACTCAATTAAGAAAGCTTGCCAATAGCTGTTCTGGAAGAGGGAGGACTGTTTACGCAAATTAAGTGTGCATTCAAGTCCGGACTTTGCCTTTATTTTGTGGCTAATATGTAATTATGCTTAATATAGATAAACCGTGGCATGTGTAACAGATTAGACGTGAGTATCTAAATATTTCAACAGTTGTGGGCAATTATGCTTCAAGACTCAAATTAGATGGTTATGGTTTACCGCAAATTTTTTAATTTAAGATCGAAACCACATTGCGGACGAGTCTGGTTAATTTGATACTATTATGATTTTGTTCAGACAACGTTAAACGTTCGGAGCAATTTGTAATATGCTCAAGGAAATAATACCGAATATTAATTAAAAAAACAATTTTACAGCAGTGAATTCTCGGGCTTATTACCTATTGGCAAAGGCTACCATCCATCATGAGATTACCACTCAAGCATCAAGTTTTAAGCATTTCTTTCCAAATGCCAGCCACTGCCAAAATACAAACATTTTTTAGCCCCTGCCAGATGTGACCACAGGGCCCTAGGCGTAAATATCGCAAGATGTACGTGTCCTTGCATAACAAAACACTTAAGCTGTCAGGGTTCTTTAAGTCTGGCGGATAGTTTCTGGGCTTTGTGGTGTCCCCACAGCGCGGTGGGCACAAATTCACACAGTCGCCAAGGGAGCAGCATCTCAAGCCAGCAACAGACCACAGAGCCAAGGCGCTCGGTAACCACCAGAAATCCGAGAGCGCTTGCACCCACCCCTCTTAGCTTGGGCTCGCCGTGATCGCCGCCACAAGTGAGATTTGGCGATCGAATTTTAAACGGCGCGTTTGGCGTTCATTGGACGCTTACCCTTCAATGGTGTTTGGTTGTCCGAAGGTAATTTTCCAATCGGCAGTTTAGAAAGAAACTAAAATATCGTTGAGCCACGTTGAATGTTTGTTTCAAAAGTTTACACGTACAAATGCATTGCATTTTTCAGTAAAACCACATTATATGAAGCAATGAATGTTTTTAAAGGATGTTAGGGCAATTATATTTGGACAAATGCAACGATATCAAGAATGGCAAGTGTGATTAATATTTATACATGCCACACTTGCTGTTGTGAATATCATTGTCTTCATATAAATAAACTTGCACTAAAATCCTATGGTGATATTATAGCTTTATGCAATGTGACATTACCTAAAAAATATAATGCAAGCTAAACTCAACTTCACAATCATGTAACTAGCCACCAATTATGTACATAAATCTGAACACACGTAATTCTATGATTGAAGTAACATCTACAAGAAAAGCATTTTAGCGAGTATCTGTAAAGTTGTGTAATTATTTGCCTGAGCAAAACCATATTGTTCCAAGTCATACGTTTTAAAAACTAATCATCTGTGCCAACACTGCCAGTAGTTCTTGGAAAAATAGATGGCTTTAAAAATATAATTACCCTAATTAAACGCTGTTACTTGTACGCCTGATTAAAAGTGAAAATTGTCCTATCTGCCACCTCAATTCCCGAGCAAAAATGCTAGAGTGAATTCAACGTCAGCCTATGCAAATTTCTCACAAGCTTCGCTTGCCCGGCAGTGTATATAAAAAAAGCGGATGAAAATATAAATAAGAAGAAAATATCTCTCCTGACGGCGAGCTTTTCTTGCACATTTATTGTTGCAACGAAGAGATGCCAGGCGACTGGCTGGCTTTGCCGCTGAGGTGTAAACTTATTTTTCAGAAGCGACCAGGCCACAAACATGATAGCTCATCAAAAGTGGTTTAGAGTCATGTGGAAATTTATAGCAGCAACATAATCTACATAATCCCGGAAAAAGAGAGGTGTGTACATTCCGGCGATCAAGCGTTAGATTTCGATTTAAAGGTTTCGTGACTGCAGGGATTCATCTTCTTGGTTCTTTCGGTAAAGTCACGTAGAATGGAAATAAAAAATAAATATATTTATTTTATTATTTTCCATTCTACGTGACTTTACCGAAAGAACCAAGAAGCGTTAGATTGTTACTCCTTAGTCAAGTGAATAATGAAACTTCCAACACCTTAGACGTTTACACAAGCCGTCTAATTAGGGTAATTCTTTCGGTAAAGTCACGTAGAATGGAAATTTAAAATATATTTATTTATTTTATTATTTCCATTCTACGTGACTTTACCGAAAGAACCAAGAAGCATTAGATTGTTACTCCTTAGTCAAGTGAATAATGAAACTTCCAACACCTTAGACGTTTACACAAGCCGTCTAATTAGGGTAATTCTTTCGGTAAAGTCACGTAGAATGGAAATAAAAAATATATATTTATTTTATTATTTCCATTCTACGTGACTTTACCGAAAGAACCAAGAAGCGTTAGATTGTTACTCCTTAGTCAAGTGAATAATGAAACTTCCAACACCTTAGACGTTAACACACGCCGTCAGAAAGCGGCGCGCTTGAGTTTTGCGTGCCTGCACGCAGTCTGCCTAGCTATTTGCGAGCGTTCGAGCTGCCTATGAAATTAGTAAAATGTAAACAAAGTTTGTGTTTTTACGATTTTCCTTAGGACAACTTGTCCAGTTGCAATCACAGTGCGGTAATTGCGCGAATTATTATTCAACGTTAAAATTGCTATGCAAATGTTACGTTTCAAAATTATGGAAAATTGTATGTAATTATGTGATGTGCAATGTTCGTTTAAACATATAATTAGCATTCGTGAATCATTCAAAGTGATTTCCCCACTCAAACAAGCTGAGGTAGTGCTCATCTTCTGTTTACAGGTCATAGAGAAGAGTTGGTAAACTCCACATTCCTATGGTGGGGGTGAGTCTTATCTGGATTAATAAAGGATCCAAAACGTCTCCATGTGGATGATTGGCATGGTAACATGGAGAGAACACAGTGTATTTTATGCAGGGTTCCAAAGTCTTAGAGCATGTTGAAACACGTTAACATCAATCCCAAGCACATTCCTAGAAATATATAAATATTTCGCCAATTGAAATAAAAGTTAAATTACAAAATACAATTTGCCAGCTGCACACTTCAATTATTCACTTACGCACGTGCAGTTTACATTGGAAACCTGCAATTTAACGTACAGAAAATGGACTTGACATCGAATCATGAGTGGGCGCACTGCAGGTTTCCACCTCAATACATCCCGCAGATAAACTTGGATCACGGGCAAGAATTCCCATCCTGCGAGGCCGACGGCGTTGAGCGATGTGCTCAATCCGTCCGCTGCACCCCCCCCCCCAACCCCGCCAGCGAACCGAGCGCGTGACAGCCGCCGAACTATGATGTGGCGAAGAAGCTCTCGCAAAAACGTGCACACCAAGTATAAATGTTCCCTTGTGCAAGCAGAGACCCCCCTTCATTTCCCTCTACCGTGCTCGCCCACCGCGTCCCCATAAAAAGCGAGCAATGGGCTTTTCCGGCCGGTACCCCTCTCGTCCCGACTCCTGTTGGCACTCGGCGGAGCATTGCGGCACGGCTTCCCACCTGCCTCCCCCCCCCCACTCTGGAGCCTCTGTGCCAATTGCGACGGGGGGTAGGGGTCGTGGGGGAAGGGGGTTCAGGGGGAAGGTGGCAGTGCGAACGCGACGCTGACAACACAGTGCCGAGGCCCCCCGCCCCCTCACTGCGCACGAGTGAAGGCGACGGACACACGAAGAAAACGCAAAGTTCTGTCACTGTTCTCGCGACGATGCCAACGGCAGTGCGGCCGGGTTGGCAGGGAAAACGAAGGTCCAGAATCGGGTGGAGGAACAGCCCTGGATGGACGGGCAATGTTGGGGGTCACTCGCCCAGTAACGGACGGTGTTGGTTTTAAGGCGTCTCGAAACACTGCAACGTGCTTGAACGCTACGTACGGTGTTTTACCCGAATTTACTGTTCTCAAGAATGGGGAAATGCATTTTTTTTTCTAAATAAAGGAGTGTGATGTTTTTTGGGGTGAATTGTTTTTATCATCGTTTTTTTTTACGTCAAATAAAATGTATTTGAAAGGCATGAAATATAGCAAACTAAGCGGTTCTGGTTTGTCAGCTTAGAAGTGAGCTGGGCTAGATGGTGGTGGAGTCGGCAACACGAACAGAAAAATTGTCCGATGTTACGTGAAGAACAACACCGCTCGACATTCGCCCAGTTTCACGCACGTCACGTACTCGGTTTCCAACCGCACCTCGCAGTTAGCTACAAAAGAGGCTGCGAGTATGATTCCCACCTGCACGTCTTCTTGCGAGGCAGGAAAGGAAGTCAAGTTCTCCTCGGCCAAGTGCTGCATCAGTTGAAGCTGAGCGAGGCTGAGGAAGAAGTCGAGGCTGGAGGTGACGTTGACCTCCAGCGAGTGTCCACACACCAGCACCTCCTGCACACACACGTACACACGTACACACGCACGCGCAAACCCCAACATGCAACATTGCACCTCTGCGCCTCTGAGTGCTCACCAATAGCCAGAACCGCGTTCATCTTGTAAACAACAATAACGACAAATATTCTCCCCCCCTATAGCCTGAACAGACTTTTGGGGCAAGTGCTGTTAGACACAATATTGTAAACTAAACTATTTTTATTTTACCAGGTGAGGCCCACTGACCTAAATAGCTCTTTTTCAGAAGGGACCTGGATATAATTCATAGCTCAACGAAGTGGCTTTTCAAATCCACACGACCACGGGGAGAGATACACGCAAACTCCAAATATACAGCAGGCATCGTCAGGGTCGGGATCGAACCCACGACTTCCTGCATACCAGGCGAGGTTGTTGAGATCTTGCCACCATGACGAGATGTAACAGTGCATCGATTCGCCGACTGAACTGGATTCTCTCGCTCACAGTACGCGCGTAGAAATGTGCATTGTAGAATTGTTCGCCCGTGTTGTTTTGCTAATTGTAACTGAATTACGGACGAATGTTTGAAGCTTAAAGCTCCAGAAGCAACGGTCAATCAGGGGTGACCAATTGACCAAATATCAGCACAAAAAATCCTCCCTTTGCAAAATGCAAGACTGTTGGAGAATTATTTTGAGAGGCTGTGACCTGACCTGGAGAGCAGGCAAAACACAGTAAACGTCGCGATTTCTTGGTTGTGATTACTCACGGCGGACACCTGTGGACAGATGACTGGTTTACAATATTTTTAAAATCATCATCATACCACCACTACTCCTGGGCCGATGACCAAATTGCCCAGAATGTACGTGACCTCATCAAATCTCAGAAGCTAAGCAGGGTTTGAGTCTGGACGGTGCTTGGATGGGTGACCACCGTGCATATAACAGACCTTGTAGGCTGCTGCGGGAGCTATGTCATCAACCGGTAGTGGAGTCAATCAAAGGGCTGTACATCTTACGTATTTTGATTAGCTGAACACCTTTTGGGTGTACGTATGAATGTTGAACTTCTTTCACACCGTACATAGGTGCGGGTGATGGACACCCAAACTAAACACATACGGCAGCTGTATCATCGTCACACCACCATTGACGCACTTAACAAGGTCGTTCGTCCACGTGTCATTCCGCTTTTCAAGTCGACGACTAAGTGCAGAGGATTTGGCTGCTATACATTTCCACTTCGTTGGGCTTTCATTCGTGACCGGGTCAGTTCTGACAAAAGAGCTACGTAGCTCAGTGGGCCTTACCTGGGAATATAAAAAATTAGTTAATTGTACTCGGCGGGTGAGGCCACTCCCCATGTACACGTTCGCCTTTCTGCGCACCACGGCCATGGCGGGCAAACACCAAACCCCCTCAACGATGGTCGCCGGGGGCTTTTCACGATCGCCGTGACAACGAAGGCACCATCCCGATCAGCGCGACGGGGTTGGGAGCGTCCCGCAATTACCTCCGTGTGGCCGAGCTCTCCGCCCATATTCTTGACGAACACGACGGCGGGGGCGGCCGTCACCCTGATGCCGAAGTCGGTGAGGAGCGGCGTGAGGATGGCCCTCCGCTCTGGCTGCCTCCGCAGGCTGCAAGGATACCAGACGCACGGCACGGAAGGGAGCCATTGTAACAAAAGTCCCCCCCAGCTCGTAACAATTGCCATGTTGCACCCGGGGAGTGGAGCCGAACGCACATTTTCCCCAATTTTCGGGCATGTTTAGTTTGGCAACGGCACTGGGGGATGTCGGTCATGGAGCTAAATTGCGAGCAGGAGCTAATGCCGCGGCTGATAAGGTTTTGCTTTTCAAGTTATGCAATGTAAGGCACCGCCGTGATAGTTTTCTTTGCTCTTAAGATGACAAATTGCACACCAGTGACTTCTCAAACATAAGCCCTGCACGGCCACTGAGACTTCTGCAAAAATATTTACAAACTAAAGTGAATACTGCAATTTCTCAAAAGAAGGCAAGTCATTCGTTGAAAACTGTGCATCCCTGACTTGAACCAGACACTGCCTTTGGGCAAGAAGAACTATATTTCAGAGAGGATTTATTTGAGCAGACCCATTTTATACACTTAAAAAACACAATTCTGTAATGTGAAAAATGCAACGACATAAAAAGAGGGCAGCTGAGCACTCGTGACAGCTCCAGTTAGGTACGGTGCAGGCCACTATTTTATAGGCACGAGTAAATTACTGCCCGCTCTGTAAAGTCTGAATTGAAAACGACCCGGGACTCGAGATGGGAGGAGATGAAAGCATTCCGGTTCGAGGAGCAGCTGTGCAGCAACCGACACAAGCAACGACTCCCACAGAGCCGACTCGACTACCAGAACTGCCGCAGACTGCAGGGGAGCTGCGTGCGTGTGGGGGGGGCGAGAGGTGGAGGGAGGAGAGAAGCAGAGAGCGTGGTGGTTGGGCATTTTTGAAACCCAAGGGGGCTCAGGAAATGTGCTGTCAAGGAAAGCAAGCGACTAGAGAAACGCACAATGATGGGAGCCTTTCTGAGATTTGGACGCGGTGAGCTACGGGGCGTCCGCTTGCTGACTCGGTACGGGCAAGTCCAGCGGCGACCTTAATACCTCGCTACCGGCGGTCGTCGTAGGAAGGTGCCTGGCAAAAACAAATGTTCCCAACATCTGGTTGTTCGCTGCTGCCAGTTAGTGCCCAGCACTGTGTTCCGTCTCTTGGAAAAGGCTGACCACAGCAGGAATTGGAATGAGGTCATTTTCACTATCTGCCTGCACAGCGTGCATTTGCATTAAACATGATTAATGTAATCGCTGTTTTTTATTCTGCGTCTTTCTTCTTCTTCTAAGCCAGAAGTCCCCATTAGTGCATGGGATCGGCTGCTCATATTTTCATTCCCCAAGTATTTATATTCAGTTTGCTTTCAGTAGTCGCATCCACTGTCCTGACATAGCGGTACACAGACTTACAGACAGACCCAGACTCACGTGGGTTTTCATGATCCATATGCAATATATATTGCATGGGGTCAACTTCTCAGATTTCCTTACTTCACGCACTTATATTCTGTGCCCCTTCTCGCCTCCTACCTAGTGTCCTCATCTCATTCCATTGTCATTACGGTTATGAAAACTGTCGATTGGTCAATTTTCGTGAAAACCGGTGTGGTACAAATAAAAAAAACTACTCGCAAATCACTTGATTGGTTACATCGACATGTAAGCAACACCACACCCCGACTGCGAAAACACCCGCAGACTACGATCGTCTGTGAATCGTGGTGCCTTCACTATAGCCTCATGCTTTAAGAACGGAAAAAACATAAACATGTACCATAGATAGTCTATTTATATTCTCTTTCTCATTGTGTAGTGGTTTCACTGGAGGCACACACTTCACTGGGAGGCAACACGATAATTTCTCGACCCCAACTGGGCACTTACATAAACCACAACGGGTTAAACTAGACCCTAACAGGGTAACTATATTACAGCGGGGTACTAGACCACAACGAAGTCACTACATAACTGGGTCAGTCAGTTCTCAGACTGCCTGACCCACGACGCTGAACGTGACGAGCGAAGACCCAAGATTGAAGAGCAGAGAAGTGTAGCACGGCGGGTCCCATTCCTGTAGACGGCAGAGGTCGCAACCGGGTACCTGATACCCGTACCCTACCTGATACCCGGCTACCCGTACCCGGCCGGGTACGGGTACAGGTAGCCGTTTGCAACCCTGGTGCGGCCGGGTATGGGTATGGGTAAGGAATCAAAACCCGTTTGCGACCTCTGGTAGACGGCCACCCTCGGCTCTCAGGGCCCCCTTCTTATCCTCTGAGCGTGGCCTCCCCCGCCCTTGGCCCCGCCTCCTTCTCGATCTTCCTGGAAGGCTCTCGATCCACGCCACCTGTCCCTCTCGGGTTCAACCACCTGTCACATCCTCCCTACCCCCTTTCTAACGTCCACCGGAACTTAGCCCCCCAGGGCCCCCTTTCCATGCCGTAACATACCCTGGTGCCAGCGAGAAGCTTCAACACTTGCAGCTCCACTTACTTATCAGAAATTCTATTGTTTGTTGCGGTTGTACCTGCCACAAGAGCCGAACGGCTCACAGGGTAAATCCTAATAAATGAAACCGAAAGTAGCTGGCGCTAAACGCCGTCGTGACTCCATTAACGTCGCTACAATACTCTTAAATAAGCGCACAACTTTATCTGTGATGAACGCTGCACTTTCCATCGTTTTCATGCAGGGGGCGCTGCAAACTTACGCGCCCCTGCATGAACGACGGAGGTGCAGGGACAGACGTTCGATTACGTTGGAATCGATCTGCAGACGGCGGTCTTCTCGCACGGCCAGCAGCTCTGTGTCGCCTTATCTCGATCCCGCAAACCCAAACAGGTGAAAGTCCGCATCGAACTGAACCCCCAACAAGGCCATCTACTTAACGACGAGAGAAAATTTACACGAAATGTCGTTTTCGATGAAGTCTTCCAGATGTAAAATGAAATAAGCGTTTACTGAAGAAATAAAATTATATAATTGAAAACATAATACAATTCAAAGATGTTTCATTTTAAAACTTCAAAACGGAGCATCGGGTGCTTGCGTGAATGCATCGTTCGTGTGCAATTTTTTTGTGACTTTCCTGGCCGAAAGCCGTAAATGGTTGTATAGAATGTTCTATTTTAACTTTTAAGTACCAATGCTTTGAGTGGCAGATTTGCGGCAGAAAGGCTCCCGCACCGGTGTGTCGGTAAAAGAATAAAATTGACTTGACGAACGTACTAGTGATTTCAATTGACCGGCCCTCCCCTAGCCAAACGGTTGCGACCGCTGTCGTGAACCCACCCGCTGGCCGTGTTCCACTCCAGGGCTGGGTTCTGGGAGCCCCTCTCGTCGTCGGGCGTGCCGTGGCCGCTCCTCTCTCCGCCCCGGTCGGGCCGCAGCTGGGCCCAGCAGCCCGTGCTCACGTTGATGGCCTGCAGCTCCACCTGGTACTGCCGGTCCTCCACCTCCGAGCCGGGCTCACGCAGGATGCCCAGGTTCAGCGCTCGTCTGGCAGGAACACAAAGCAAAAGATACAAGACGACATCACGCATCCGACCGTCACGTATCCGCCCTGACCAGTTAATCGGGAAGCCATTTCACCTTTTATATATCGGGGTAAATGTTGTGTAAATCCAAATCCACCTTGACCGTGGCTCCTTCCACGCGCAGCTTCACGAGATGCACTCCAGCTTAAACACGTCATGAATCTAAATTGGATTATTCTGCATTGTGTCACAGAGGGTTAACACGTTTTCACTTCCAACTGTTTGCTGATAAAAACAAAAAATTGGTACAAACTGAAATTATAGTGAAAGGTTGTTTGGAGAGTGTCGATGGAGCATGCACTCGTGCTGTGGACCTGGTCACCGGGGTTCGATTCCGTGTCACAGATAACCACAGCGAGTGATATCTCAAATGCTTCACCAACCTGCAAAACCCCCCGTGGTTGACGTCACATGGGGTGTCCGACATTCAGCAGTGGATTGACATAGCGCTGTAAATTGTTCATTATTACTATCGTAAACAAAGACAAAGATCCCTCCGTGTAGCCTTAACAGTCTGTTGGGGCAAGTGCTGCTAGCGAGCACCTATGAAGGCTGGCACGGCACACGAGGGAGGTGGGTGGCCAGCACCACACGTTGCACCAGGCACTCATTTGAGGCTGAGTTGAGCTAGGCAAGGCCCAGGCCCGGTCCAGGTAATCGTCACTAGCGTTGGCCGTGAGCGGGAATCGAATTCGGGTCGCCGGCCTCGTAGCGCAGCACGCTATAACCGCTGCGCCACCGCTCCTCGTATGGATACACTCACGTCACCAACACCCCTTTTTTCATCTCACTTTCTGAGAAGCACCCATGGCTCGGCACGGTCAGGCAGAGAAGAGCGCGCGCACGTGCCCCCTAGGTTTACCCAGTGTGCCTGACCTCAGCTGAGGCACCCCCTGCTTTCACGATCCCTGGATACTTGACAGCAGGACCTCACACAGCTCCCAGTTGCCATAACAAGCAAATGTCCCAAGATCACGGTCTCCAAGGGAGTGCATGGGACTGCGTGTGATTTATAAATGTAATCAATTGTCAAAAAATATTCTCCACTACCCAGGCCAACAACGGTAAATCAGCAGAATTGGTCGTGGGAGCATCATAAGCGGCGCTTTTCTGCTGATAAAGCCGGGCAGACACTGTCTCGTGCCGCATGGGTGCGGCCGCACTTTCAGAGCTAGGCTCCACGATGGTCCGCAAAACGCGATTTACGACGCGGGTCAATCTACTATAAATCCCGTTACAAAATAAACACGAAGAATTTAACCCCCCCCCCCTCCGTCCTCGCGCGTCGGTTCCAAAAAGGTTGGGAGAAAAACATGGAAAAGTTCCACCCCAAGGCAAAAGGCCACGATCGGCAAACGGAGAGATGGAGAGAGGAGGGAGGGGGGGGGGCCTGTAATTCACGACGCAGACCCAACCACAAAGAACATAAAGAACAGAGAATGATAGGGGGGGAGGCGGGGAATACAATCAGAGCATGTGTCAAATGTAAAGCCTCAAGCACCAGAGAGATTTCAAGAATTACAATTACCGTAGAATTGTAATGTTGCTCTCTGCAATGTGCAGCATCTGCAGTGCTGGTTAGTTTCAATTCCTGGTCATGACATTTAAACCGCATCCACTGGCGGGCATCGCCATCATCACCGATGACCAATCCGCTGCCAGATTGGTCACCATCTCGCATGGTCATACGATGCGGTTAACCATTTAGCACCTGCACACAAGCTGATTTCATCACTCCATATCCACAAAGTTAATTCTCCTGGGCACGTTCCCACCTTTGGCTCCCACTCTGTTGTTATTGCTTGCCCACCAGCCACCATTCCGTCTAGAGATGTGTCTTACTCAGGCACACTTAGTTTTCTTTACAGTCAAAATTGCAGATGTAATCCAGGCATATTCCGTAAGCTCCTCTTTCTGTCTCACACTGGTAAATAAATTGGCAGAAAACGTCACAAGTGCTCAAAATAAGCATGGAGAGATGCACGCTTGGAACTACACTGCTCATAGGCGTCACGAAAATAAACACCTATACGCTGTCCCAAGAACCACACAATGTATTGCGGAGCTACAAAATGAAGAGGAAGATTATCATTAGGAGGGAACAATAGCCACGAAGTGGCTCTAGGGTGGAGAACCTCCGATTAGCACGGTTGGCTACGTACGGTCCAAAAGAAATTGAACATTTCATCCACACAACTCAACACCTCAACTTTGCAAATGGAATCAGGTCACGTGAATTCCTATAAACCCTGAGAGATGACAAGAATTAAAACGAGGATTTTAAATGTACTGCAGAATATACAATAAATGCAACCACTGGTATATATATACGTATACAAATGTACGTAGAAATAATACGCACACGTACCATACTCAACCAATGTGGCCATCTGCATTGAGAATTAATAGAAAAAAAAAATTAAGACCTAAAACCTGATCTTCCAGGACAAAAGAGCATGGGTTTTATTTTTAGCTGACCAATGTTTCTTAATGCAGTTGTTTGTGTGGGCAACGGGTAGCCTCGGGGCGAAGGTTGGGAAGGCATCAAGGTAAAACCGTGGATTGGCGTTAGCAACATATGGAAAACATTTGGAAAATTAAGTCCTAGGGGACGTTGGTTATGTTGAAAAATAGAACTGCTTTGCATTAGAGGAACATTTGATAAACTAGGTTAGGCTACTGTGCCCCGTCTGGTCATTCTCACTTGTTCTGTGGCATGCGTTTAATTTGGCTCAAAGCGCTCCAGAAACACAAAAATGCCACACTCCTATTTATATAATGCCATTTTTTTGGTGTACGCGCGTGTGTGTGTGTGTGTGTAGACATCAAAACACCAGCATCGTAACCGTGTGGGTCTGGCACAAAACGGCAAGTGATTTTTAGATTTTTTTTGTGTGAAAAAAAAGCCTTTGGTAGAATATTTAAAGAATGAAAATGCTGACAACACGTCAAAAGAATGCGTAAATAATATATAGCGCTGTTGAAGTAAATCTAAGTGAAAAATCTTTTTTAAACTGGCCTCTACGAATACAATTTCAGGCGCGTAAGATGAATTTCTTACACATCAAATATGGTTGTTTTTTAAATACCAGACTGGTCACTTCAAAAAGGGTTCAAATAATAGTCTGAAGTAATTTGGATAAGAAACTGGGCCCAGGAGTCTTTGACATATACCATACTGTAAAAATAATGAGTGCTTGGGAAAAAAAACCGAGCCAAATAATGGGTTCGTTGTACAGTTAACATTAAGCTTAGGCGCATTTTTCAAAGACATGCCAGATTGCAGGGTTGTAAGTAGCTGAAACAATGCTCGACACAATTACTTTAATTTTATTATCCATTTATGCTTCTACCAATTCCTTATTTTTTCCAGATCCAAAACCACTTTTTTGCCAGGGGGGGATAGGGGGGAGTTCGAGGGGGTGGGAGGGGGGGGAAGTAAGCCCTAGAAAAACTAGTCACACAACTGGCCAAGCCACAATATTGAAGATTTACACTGGCGACTTAAGAAGCTAACCGAAGGATTTTGCTAGACACATTTTCCGTATCTGCAAACATGCACGTTGAACGAACGCAGAGTCCTTCTTAGAACCGTAACGCAGTGACTTCTTATATCCCTCCACTTCACACGCACACAATATTAGCATTTGAGTGATAACTTACGGTTGAAATTTTAAGCAAAAAAACAATATTCTTGGTTCTTTCGGTAAAGTCACGTAGAAGGGAAATAATAAAATAAGAAAAATAAAACGTAAAAAAATATTTATTTTATTTTTATTTTATTATGTAAAAAAAAACATTTCCTTCTACGTGACTTTACCGAAAGAACCAAGAATATGAATCCCTGCAGTCACGAAAGCTTTAAATCGAAACAAAAAAACAATCTTAAAATAGAAATGTTAAATATCCAAGTGCACTGCATACGAACAATTACAAATTGCTCTACTCAATATTAATGTTAAATACCTTTTTATCACACATTTCTTTGCAAGGAACTAAAAATGTTTTTATTTGATTCAGGAGGAACCACAACCATTTATTTAATTCAGCTACAGGGCAATATTGCCAGCGATGGAGTATGAGCCCGTATCCTGTACACGTGATATCTCATTATCTAATGCGGGCACAGAATACAAGTGGTTACATATGGTGCTGCACACAAACAGCATTTAGCGTTCCGTGATCCACACATTTACATATGTATGTTGAATTTCTTTCGCACCGTGCATAGCCAATCGTGCTAACCGGAGGAGTGGTTATCCGCCAAATGTTTTAGTTGGACGAATTAAGCAATCGAAAATAATGTACATGCCATTGTCAATCCCATCCCGGGTTTTTTTGATCGTACTGGCCATTGCTAGTTGGTGAAGGAATATGAATCCTTGCAGTCACGAAAGCTTCAAATCTAGAATTTTCCAGTACCGGTTTAGATATCACTCACCACTAACGTTAAGCCGTGGCCCGGGAATTGGACTCAGCTCACCGGGATTCATAGCGTAATGAGCCTACCACCACGCTACTCTTCTGCTCCTCAACAATGTAATGACAAAGATTTAATAAACTAACGGTTTGTGAATTAATTCACACATGTAAATATTGTGATTTTATAATGCTAGCAGTCACTGCATGACATCATGTGTCACACACACACACTCGCATATCTGGCAATGCGTACCTTACAAATGGAAACATTTACATTCTTTCTAGCTTTCACTCGCTCTGTTTTCATTATTCACTCACAAACCCTTAAAGGGGAGTTGATGCGTAATCTTGAGACTTCACAATATTTACATTCAATGCAGCGTCCTCATTAAGAGGTGCAACTGCCCTCATTTTACGTAAAAAAAAACTAAAATTGAGAATCGCTGCCCTTTGCAATTGCTTTCTGCTCGTGGAAGAGCCCTGCACTCCTCTTCCACACTGCCCGGACGTCTCGCGAGATGCGGGAGGAAGCCCACACTT